TATATATATATATACATATATATGCCCCAGTGCCAATTAGAATTGGACAGCTCGCATTTGCTTTGCTCTGATCAGAAATGAAATATATGTATATTCCCTTAGCAACCGTTATTCTGCCAGCTATATGATATACGGAAATAGCATAGCATGTGATCTAAGCTTAATCTATATCAATATGTATTGAGTTCCTCAAGAGAAGCAGCCATCCAAGGCATGAAAGCCAAGAATACTTGAGATAGGCACACATATTCGAACAACTGGATTGCCTAGAGGAGCTATCTAGCCAGACACCCATTTACATATATTTATAGATGATATACATAGATATAGATTTATAGATTGTCAGAGAAACATCACCAACAAATGCATTTAAGAACGAACTCAGTTTCAAAACAAAATCAGTTGAGGTTTTCTCATAGCGCAAGCCATTCAAATGTTTCTCTATAGCTCAATCAACTGTTATCGATGCCATATAATCTATAGCAAATCACATTAAGCTTTGGCATATATCATATAGCAACACACACATAGATAACATCTAGCAAAATAAACTCAAATAAAGCTCGATTTGTATAAAAATTAAGTTAGGCTACATTTGGTTCTTAACTATATCTATGCTAAATATATAGCTAAAACTGAACAATCAATTTGTTATAGGCATACATATATATTCGGACTTCTCTCTCTCTCTCTCTCTCTCGCTCTCCTCTTCTCTTTCTTTTTCGTTGCGTTTCCTTTTTGGTTTTGTTCAAAGTAAAAGTAAAAGAGAAAAACGGTCAAAATTTATGATTTATAAAGTGTAAAAAGTTCTATAACAATTTTCGTTAGTTGTTTTGCTGTTGCCTTCACTCATTTCGTTGCTGGTTGCTCTTGCTATTATTATTATAATTATTATTATTATTATTATTATTGTTCATTTATTTAAGCTTTTTACGTTGCCACCTTGGGTTGCTGCCGCCTCAGCATCTTCTGCATTATTAAGTATACATAAAGTAATATGTATGCGTGTGTGTGTGTGTGTATGTGTGTGCCCAGGTGTATGTATGTATTTATGTCGTTTAAACTTAGCTCGCTTACACATAGCACATTCCAATGCGTGACTGTGTATGCGTATATATATATATGTGTGTTTGTGTGTGTGTGTTTAAAACGAAAAATAAAACCGATTCAAGCATCTCGTCGTAGACCCCCGCAATTCTAGTTAACTGAACAATTTAGTTGCATCGCTCGCTCGCGCTGTTTGTTGTTTGTTTGTTTGTTTTGTTAATATAGTTTTCTTTTATTGTTATTGTTGTTGTTGCTGCTTCTCTTACTGTTGCTGTCGCTGTTGCTGTTGCTGTTGCTGCTGTCGATAAAATTGGACTTATTGGAGTACTTCAAGTTGCTGTTGCAATAGCTGTTGTGGTTGTTGATGTTGCTGTTATTGTTGTTATTGATAGTGCTGCTGTCGCTGTTGCCGCAACATAGCTTCTAAGATGCTGCTGCAATGGACGCTGGCGTCGACGCTACAGACATCTCATTTGTATCGAGATGATTGAGCTGCTGCTGCTCCTCCTCGGCACGCAGCTTGGCTGCCTCCTTCTCCTGGAGCTGCGCCTCCAGCTCCTCAATGTTGCGAAAGATGCGCGCATATTGGAAACGTTGCTGGCACAACAACTTATACTCATCCGCCTCTTTTTCGCACTCCCCAAAGATATCGCCATCCCGCAACGCCGTGTAAACCTGAACGGCCTCCTGCAAATCACACACAGATATAGTACTTGATATATACAGTTACATATATTCCAAATTTACCTCTAATCGCATCTTGCTCAGATTGAAGCTGGTGATCAGTTTAATGGCTTTCTGCTTTTTGCTAGGATCCAGCTCGTAGAGACCGCGTGCGCCCTCATATAAATGCAATATGGAAGTAGCATGATGCTTGGCAATGAATTCGTCATTCAACTGCTGTGGCGTCTTGGTGCCTATCAGTTCTTTGGTCGCCTTGTCCAGCACTTGCTGCACATGCTCATTGAATGGCTCCAATTTCTTGGCATTGGCCAGCGCCTTCATAAATCGGATGATACAGCTGTGCAGAACGGGATGCTCCGGATCGACAGCACGCGCACGCAGTATCGATTGCAGCATGAGGAGCAGCTTATTCTTTCGATAGTACACCTCGAAGGCCAATAAATGCGTTTCGATTCGCTCTTTGGCAAACTGCTGCAGCGGCTTTAAGAACTCAATTGCCTTCTCCAACGGCTCGTCGGTGCGCTCCAGTTTCTCGGGGATTAGCTCGTCTAGTTGCGGTGCATCCGGATCGGTTTCCTGATTGGCCTGCTGTTTCGATTTCTGATGCTGTTCGCGTTTCACCTGCGCCTGGGCAGCCTGCGCGCTCTCCAATTCGGCTTTCTTCTTGGCCTTGCGCTGTTTACTGCGCAGCTTCTTCAGCTCCGATGGCGGTAGGTTCTCTGCAAAGGATCACAGTTAGCAATGATTGATAGATTCATATAAATGCATATATATTCTGTGACGGATATTCCTGCCGCACCGATATCAATTTCCTCAATGGTTGTCTCCGACTTGAGTGGCTTATCGTAGAGCCGCATATAGACCTCAATCCCACATTTGGCCGCCTTAAAGTAGAATGGATGACGCCGTAGGACATCCTCCAATCGCAATAGTCCAACGTAAGCGCGCAATGTCATCTTGCGCATGCAATAGGTATGAAAATCAAACTGATCCTCAATGATCTCGGCAAAATGACGATCCACTTCGTGGCATTTCTTAAGTGCCTCGCCCCACCGACCCATGCGCTGGAAGGCCAAGGCACACTCCGTCTGGAACCACATGCATTGCATCTCGTTCAAATTGTCCATGGCCGAGACGCCTTCACGGGTGAACTTCGCACAGATCTCCTCGGCCTCGGTAATCATGTTGGCGCGCAGCATATACTTGGCGCACTTGGAGTTGATGTAGCTGCAAGTGAGAATATTAGATAGGTGCACAATAATAATATGTATAGTCTACCGATCGGCCGTGTCCATGCTCTGGGCCTCTTCGAGCCACACGTAGGCCTCCACAGCATCGCCGGCATGCTTAAAAATCCGTCCTTTCGTGATAAGCAGCTCAATCAGCGTTGGTGTATGATCGATTGCGACATTGATATATTCCAATGCCCGGTTCGTGTCGCGCATATAATCATAGTGCTGAGCCAGAAACAATGCGGTCCAGACCAAAGCAGAGGCCGGCTCGACCGGCATACCAGCATCGGCATCTTCCCGTGAAAAGTGACCGGAACGCGTTAAATTCTCAAAATATTGCAGTGTTAGCGACTCGATGATGTTCGCCTTTTCCGGCTGCTGGTGCAGCGAACGCACGTTGACAAACAGTGGAGGAATACCCTTTCGAAGGCCCCGTCGCAAGTATTCATCGGCCACGACCCGAAACTCTTCGCCGCTGGCAATGTCTAAGGGCAGGCGACGTGGACAGAGCGCGCGTGGATATTGTTGTTGAAATTCGCGATAGACAGCCACAATATCGCTTGGAGAGCTGACGCGTCGGGCCATCATATATTGTTTGTAGTAGAGAACATTCTCCGGATTGCGCTGGATCAGTGACTCATATATGGGCACCGCTTTGTCCTCCTGCTTCAGTTTAATATACAAATCGCCGAGAGTTTCCCGCACAGCCAACTTGTCCACAATCTGTGGCTCAAACTTAAGCAAATGATCGAGCGCCTGCTGCAACTGGTGCGCTTCGATGAGTATCTGATTCTGATAGAGCAACAGCTCCGACTGTCGGTAATCGTGGGCCTCCTAAATGAAGGGAAACAGATCAACAGCGAGCGAGAGAGCGAGAGAGATGCACAGATTAGCAACAATATATAGTTCAACTATTCTCACACTTACAATTGATGTCTGCGACTGGCTAAACGTCTCGAGTATATTATTCGCCATCATATGCTCGCCCAGCAGATGATAGCTCATAGCGAAGCCAGTCCATGAGGCGTGCTGCGATGGCCGCAACGTGAACAGATGGTGACGCGTCTCCTTGTAGCCCTCCAAGTCTCGCATTTGTATTTGCAGCAACGACAGATCTTTCAATATTTGCAAGTTATCCTTCTCCCATTTGAGGGCATTGCGGTAGCATTTGATTGCCTCGTCATACTTTTTGTCGCTCCGCTGCAGCAGACCGTAGACATGCCAGCAGACGTGAGAGCGCAAATCGTTCCTCAGGCCCATACGGACGTACTTATACGCCTCCTCTCGGCGCCCGAGTCCGTTCAGTGTTAAGCCCTTCATGGCCAGCGTTTCGCCATGTTCCGTGAACTTCGGATTTGATAGGATTTGCTTGGCCAGTTTGAGGCCATTTTTGTACTGCTTCATTTCGTAGCATTTCTGCATGACAGGTGGGCAGATACCAATGTAATTAAATAAAGTGCAGATACAGATATACCTAAAGTAACATGGAATAGCATTTACATCTAGAACTTATCATACTTTGGCTTAGTATTCAGCCGTTTTCAAAAGCCCGCCCCACTTTTTGAGGTTATGCGATGAGCTACGTGCCAAAACAATGCATACAAAATCCAGTTAGAATTTTTTGGCAGTGGCAGCACTGTCCAACTACACTGATTACAAACTAACAAATCCAATGGGTAATGTTTCTAATCAGTTTTGCTCTTATTGGTTTTGTTTTTTCTTTGTAATACCAAAAATAGGCGCAACGAAAAAGCACATGATAAACTGTGTGTGTGCGTGCGCGCATATGTGTGAGTGTGTATGTGTGTGTATGGGTCTTGTATGGGAGCCGCAGTTGGAATTGTAGCCGGCGACTTAACAGCGTATACATGTACATATGTATGCTCCAATACATATGCATACATGTGCAGAAATATGTATACATATATACTGCACTTACCAGTAATTTACGGAAGAGTGCAGCCTCTTTGGGCGGCAGTGGATCGCTGGAAGGCATCTTCGACGTTTTGCTGTGCTGCTTCTTCTTCAGCTGCTACTTTTGCACCGGATTAAAAATGCTTCCGTTTCGCTATTTTATTAAAGGTAAAGAGGTATTCTATTATTGTTGAAGCGATAATTCAGCGTGTGTATAATTAATTTCCTTTTCGCCAAGGCACATGAACAAAAAAAAAATTACACACACGCACGGCGTTTAAAAATATATATTTATAAAATTCTGTGTAAAATACACCGCGACCACGAGCAAAATTTCGTCTTGACGGTGAGACAGCAAACATCAACGCAATATACACATGCATAGCATGTGTTTGCGCATCGATTCGAATGGCACATGTTGGCGATTCGATTTATTATATTTTGCACCTGAGTTTATTTTGTGCAAGCGCCGTGTGAATGATTCTCATAATTCACGATTTTATAAAATAATGATGATAATATACTCACATTTAAATTAGTTTATGGATTTTTATTGGCTTGTGCCGTTTTGCAGAGGCATAAGAATCACAGCTGTGCAACACCCTCCAATGGCAAGAAGAAGCAGCAAGAGCGGGCTTCCCAGTTGTGTTATATAAAACGTATGATTTATTACTTAAAATGAATGTAATGAGTTTGTATGATATTGCCAGTATATATATCTAAACCATTAACAGAGACACACACATTATTTTGCTTCATTTAGAACGAAAGTTTAATAAAATTCATACTAAATTTTCTCACAAAAAATTGACATTCAAACAATATTTAAGAACAACAGCTGTCAATGCAGAATACATTATCGATAGATTGTTTATATCGATATAAGCAACTTGTGAGTCGTTTAAAACACTTGTGAAGTAAATAACATGAACTCCTTGGCTAAGCTCGGTAGCTTCGTTAGCCAAAGCGTTCAAATCGCTGGATGTGGCGTAAGTCGTAACATATATGCAAATAAATTATATACATTCAAGTTTGTCTCTCCCCCAGTTGCAGCAAGTGCGCACTAAATATGCCGACTGGCGTATGATACGCGATGTCAAACGTCGCAAATGTGTCAGCGAACATGCCAAGGACCGCTTGCGTGTAAACTCGCTACGGAAGAATGATATATTGCCCGCTGAGCTCCGCGAGGTGGCGGATGCTGAGATCGCCGCATTTCCAAGGGACTCCTCACTGGTTCGCGTGCGAGAACGTTGCGCACTTACGTCACGGCCGCGCGGCGTAGTCCATAAATATCGACTTAGCCGCATTGTGTGGCGACACCTGGCCGATTATAATAAGCTGTCTGGTGTGCAGCGTGCCATGTGGTAACATTTAGATATACTTTTATTGAGCCCTGTTTAAAGCTAGACAAATAAAAAAAAAAGTCAAATAGAAACAAAATCAAGTGCATTTGAATAGCCTTCACAGCTGTTGGCCTGAATTTCGATAGAAACTATTGCCGCTCATCGATAGCGATTTACCATCACTATTTGTTTACTTCTGAAAATGAGCTACAGATCAGGCAAAACAAGCAGAAAGCGGCATGATTCCACGCGTCAGCCTCTTAATTTGGTGGACTTTAGCTTTTTGGATCACAAATCAGCATTAAGTAGACACCTGTTCACCAAGAGCACCAGGCATCCGGTCAGTCTTGTGGAAAATGCGTCAGATTTCTGGCAGTTTGTCAACAAATATGAGTCTATGCTGCGTAACATGGGGCAGTCGGTGTTACCCTCCCTGCTCAATGATTCGGAGCATAAGCAACTGCAGCCCTATCATAAGAGCAAGCACCTGCCCCTGCAACTGGACGAGGAGCAGGTCAAAGACTGCGAGGGTGACGAACTACAAGCACAATTCCAGCAGCTGGTGCTCATCTACTTGGACTTCAAGCAGAAGGAGAAATTTAATCGCATTAAGAAACTTAGGGAAGCTCAAAAAGCGCTACCCATCGCCCGCTTCAAGCAGGATTTGCGTGCCTCGCTAGAGGAGAGCCGTGTGCTTATCGTAGCCGGCGACACGGGCTGTGGAAAGTCCACGCAAGTGCCACAGTATCTTTACGAATTTGGCTATCGCAGCATAGGCAAGTCCAGCCAGAGCTATATAGCTCTGTTAGCAGACCTCTACTCGATATATATTCTCTTAAAGCACCAAATCTCAATCATTTTTCCCATTTACTCTGCAGCTTGCACTCAGCCACGTCGCTTGGCCTGCGTCTCGCTTTCGAAGAGAGTAGCCCACGAGCTGCTGGACGACTATGGCAGCAAAGTCGGCTTCCAGATACGCTTCGAGCGAAACAGAACTCAGCACACGCATATTCTGTTCATAACCGAGGGCTTGCTCCTGAGGCAGCTGGCAATGGCGGAGAATTTGGAGCAGTACGATGTGCTCATACTCGATGAGATACACGAACGCAATCTCTTTGGCGACTTTCTGCTGGGCGTCACGAAGTGTTTGCTGCGCGCCAAGCCGCAATTGAAGTTGATTCTGATGTCGGCAACGATCAACGTTGAGCTCTTCCATGGCTACTTCAAGGAGGAGGGCGCACGCTTGCTGCAAGTGCCAGGTCGCCTGTTTCCCATCAAGCTGAAGTATATGCCGCCTCCAGCGCTGGAGCTAAAGGCGGGGCAAGCCACAGCTGGCAGCAAGCGGGAGAAGAGCTCGCGACTCGACCCGGCGCCGTTTATCCAAGTGCTCAGCCTCATTGACCAGCAATATCCAAGTAAGAGGATCCCATACCTATGACCAGTACAATTCTAAAGGGTCTTCCCCTTGCAGCCACTGAACGAGGCGATGTGTTGATCTTTGTCAGCGGCGTCAATGAAATCGATGTCGTTTGCGATGCAGTCCGGGAATATGCCAAGGAGCAGACCCACTGGCTGCTGCTGCCACTGCACAGTGGCTTGGCGCTGGCGGAGCAGGATAAGGTCTTTGACTATGCGCCCGACGGCATGCGCAAGTGCATCGTCTCGACGAACATAGCTGAGACGTCGCTGACAGTCGACGGCGTTCGCTTCGTCATCGACTCGGGCAAGGTCAAAGAGATGAGCTACGACGCCAGCTGCAAGGGACAGCGGCTCAAGGAGTTTTGGGTATCCAAGTCCTCAGCGGAGCAGCGCAAAGGTCGCGCTGGACGCACAGGCCCAGGCGTTAGTAACTGCAGCTTCGCATGCCCCATGCCACTTGCTGACTATTGCCGTCTCTTTCAGGTCTGCTTCAGGCTCTACACACAGCAGCAATTCGATGCCTTTGAGGCATACCCCTTGCCAGAGATCTATCGCGTGCCGTTGGACACAATGCTGCTGCAAATGGTCTCCATGGGCTTGCCGGATGTGCGCGCCTTTCCCTTCATAGAGGCGCCCGACGCGGAGCGCATTGAGCAAACGATTCTCTCACTCAAGCAGCATGTAAGATGAAAGCTGATTAGCCATTGAAAGGCAAGCTCTCACTCCTCTCTCTCCCTCCCTCTCTCTCTCTTTCTCAGTGCGCTTTGAGCGTGGAGGAGAAGATCACGCCGCTGGGCAGCTCGCTGGCCCACTTGCCCGTGGAGCTGTCGATTGGCAAGATGCTGCTCATGGGCTGTGTGTTTCCCGAGCTCGAGCAGCTGCTCACCCTGGCCGCCATGCTGAGCGTGCAGAATCCGCTGACGACGCGCGCCTTCACCGATCAGCGCTGCGAACGCGAGCGCCAGCAGTACGAGTCGGATCAGGGCGACCTGTTCACGCTGATGCGCGCCTTCCACGAGTGGCTGCAGCTGAAGTTGTCCAGGGAGAGCACCAGGAAGTGGTGCCAGAAGCTGGGCATCGAGGAGCAGCGCTTCTACGAGCTGTGCAAGCTGCGCCAGCAGTTCCAGCGCATACTCGAGAGCTGTCGCATGGCCACGCCCAAGAATGAGCAGCTGGACAGCAAGGAGCGTGCGCGTCGTCATGGCGAGCTGCGCCAGCTGAAGGCGTTGAAGCGGCGCCAGCGCTACGAGCAGCCCAGGCAGCGCAAGTTGCTCAAGCGCCAGTTCCATGAGGCGGAGCAGCAAGACGAAGAGGAGCTGGGCGAGGACATGCGCGACGTGGACTTCCGGCTGCGGCATGATCATCGCCAGCTAACGCTGCTCGCACGCTCCGCCCACTTGAGCAGCCATCGGGACGTCGTGCTGCTGAAGCTGCTCCTGGTGAGCGGCTTCTATCCACAGCTGGCCATTGCGGACGAGTTCAACTACTGCAAGGGCGCCAGCCAGCAGTTCTTCCACACGCAACTCAAGCCGTTTCTCTCGCTGCACCCAAACTCGCACTTTGCCAAGGACTTCGAGCTGCTCAAGCTCGCAGAGAGCGATCTGCAGGAGAAGCCCTTCTACTACACGCCCAAGCAGCCGCTTAGCGAGCGCCACCAGCTGCTCTGCTATCAGTAAGAGAAGCTACATATCTCCTAGTCAAGTCTGGTAATAATCATTCTCTATTCGTCCACCCAGATCTTTGTTGGAAACAGCGAAGCCATATTTGATGAACTGCATCCGTTTGCCGGCAGCTCAGACGTTGCTGCTCTTTGGCTACGCCATCGACACAAATGTGGGCCTCTCGCGCATCGTCTGCGATGGCTGGCTGGGCTTGGACTTCCCACAGCCGGGCAGCGGACTGCAGCTACTGAGCAAGGCCATCGAGCTGCGGAGACGCTGGAGCAGTCGCCTCTACGATAAGCTCAACGGTGCGTAGCTCAAGTCTCTCTCATGCAACTAAATCAATTGATTCTCTTGCAGAGCTCAACAACAGCAGTAAGGATTCGAGCTCCGTCGCTGCTGCGCCTCTCCCCGTACGCAGCGATTCGCTGTGGTCTGATCTGCTGGACTTTATGAGTCTGGATGTTGCGTACAGCATTAAGCGGCTGCTGCCTGCCGACCAGAAGACGCTCTACACACGCTCGCCTCCAACCTATCGACTCGCTTCCCTCACATCGAACCCTTTCGCCGCCGACTTTCCGCTCAGCGTGAACGAGGAGAAGGGCGGCCTCAACGTCTCCGAGCATGTGGTCTATGGCTGCCTGGCCGAGCTGCCCTGGACGCTGGCCATGGAGACGGCCCTTCAAGCCCAGCCCTGGCAGTGTCCTCGCTGTGACTATGAGCTGGAGCAGTTTGATGTGTTGGATCAGCTGCTGCATCGCCCACAGTGCAAGGCACAACAGCGAGCACGTGTATCCAACGATCGGGAAGCGACTGTGGCGCCCACGAGCAGCTCACGCAGTGGCAGCGATCATTATTGTGAGAGCTGTGGACGCCATCTAAAACTATCAAAGGTCGATATACTGCGTCATCGTGTCAGCTGCACGAAGAAAAAGTGAGACCTAATAGCACAGGACAGCAGTGTAAAGCTGACTGTGCAGCCGAGACACAAACCAATTCAGACAAGCGAGCACGCAATTCATTTTCAATGCTGTGTGACGCTAAAAGAAACTCTTAGCTAAGACACAAACCATTCACTTCTGCTCTAATGTGTGCATGTCTAGTTAGTCAAGTTAGCTAAGACACAAATTGAGCTGCAGCCGCTTACAGTGCAGCCCCGCATATTGGTGCACCTTAATTAATTGTTGCTAATAAATGAATAGTTTCTGCAAATGGAAAAATAATACAATTCAAGCATGTCATTTTCGAGATTTAATGAGTTTTTTTTAGGTACACATACGCTGTTGTCTATCTGTCTCTTAAATTTCTAAAATTTATCCTAAAAAATATTTTAAAAAATAAAATAAATAAATATTTAATCAATTACTGATTGATAAAACAAACCTTTCCCTTTATTACTCACGTACAGAATCTTAAATTCTAGGGAATTTGCATAAAACTCTTTTTTCTTGAGGAAAGATCACTTTATCTAGCTCTCTCTCTCCCTCCCTCTTGCTCTTTGGAGTTGTCTTTTGTTGGAGGGGTTCACACTCTTAAATTATAGTATATTCTCTAACATTTATGTTTTGTTTTCAGTAACAAATTTGTGTTTATTTCAATTTCAGTTTTCGTTTTCATTTTTCATTTCCTACGGTTTTTTTTCCATGCATGAGCTCAGGAATTTGTGATGTGATATATACACAAATATATATATATATATATAGACATATACATATATATATATATATAATGATATATATATAACTATACAAACACAGCGCTCTATATATAATACTAATGTCTATTCATAGCAGTCGAAAGGAGCCATCGCCGCTCCACAAACATTAAAAAAGATGAAAAAAAAAAGGTTAGAAAAATAAAAAGGTTAAAAATGTAGAATCTAGGATTATATAGTTGAAAAATAAAACCTAAACGAGAAATATAGCTCTTATAAGAGTATACTTTGAGGATTCTTCATTTAGTCTTATTCCTGTCACGTACGAGTCCTGTTTAGGGCATGATGTATTCCAGATCGAATTTGGCTCCGATGCGCGGAATGCGCGGCTTACGAACCACCTTTGGCTGTCGAATATATATGAGTATCACTATTTATATAGAGCATATGTATATGTATGCGTGTGTATTACCTTTGGGACTACGGGCTCCTCTTCGTTGGCAGCGCCCCCTCCACTGGCTCCAGCACCTGAAGGCTACAAAGAGTTAGAGAGAGATAGATAGATGTTATTTGGTGATATTAATATTGCTTACTCTACACAATTCCCTTTTTGTCATTAACTGAATTATTTTATTATGAAAAATTGCAAAAATTGTAAACAAATTTCTGAGCTCTGAGAATATCTATTATTGTTTTAATCTATTTTCCACATGGATGCATTTATTTTCCCTAGCTACCTCACACTCTACCTGCTTTGTTGCTCTCTCTCTCTATTTCTCTACCTGTTTCAGTATCTGTGTCTCTCCCTAGCTCTTTATGTCTCTCTCGTTTCCTCTCTCTCTGTCCTTGTTTCTGTCTCTCTCTGCTTCAGTCTCTGTGTCTCTCCCCAACTGTTTCTGTCTCTGTTTCTGTCCCTCTATCTCTCCTCTCTCTCTCTACCCCATTATAAACTACACGTAATCTGAAAGCTCAGCCTCCTTTATCATCCCTTCTCGTCTTTCTTCTGTCTACAACTACAAAGCAGTGCAATTCTCCCCCTCGTTAATTGCTTGCTGGATTATTTTGAAATACTTACGTTTATCTTCAGGGTTCTCATTAGCTCCGAGCTGGCCTCGTCTCCAGTTGGATCCACTGCAACTGTTATAGTTGGCTGCGAATTGGCTGCGGTGTTCTCCTTCGGCGGATCATCGAGAGCGGCGCTCTTGTTGGCCTTTGCGCATTTATCCTGCAAGCGATTGACATCAATGGGTATAAATACAGTATAGAGAATTTGTTCAGTCAATCAATCAACTCGGTTGTTTCATCTTACCAATGCCTGCTCGGCTTGAGCTGGAGCAGCTGCAGCCTCCCCGTCAGCCGGGCGCTGAGTTTTCTTGGGGCGATAGGCCTGGATGGGCACAAAGTCTTTGATCGAGATGCGACGACGTTGGCCAAAGAAGCTGCCATCCCACTGACGATTGTTGTTGCCGTTGTTGCCGTTGTAGCTGTTGTAGTTGTTGTAGTTGCTGGGGTTGCTCATGCTGTTATTGGCAAAGAAGGTTGAGCCGTTGTTGTTGTTGGCGGTGTAGCCGCCGCTATAGTTGTTATAGCTGTTAAAGTTGTTGAAGTTGTTGCCATTGTTGTAGTGAGCATAGCTCTTGTGATAGGCGCTGCCATTGGACTTTGGCACGTAAGCTGACGAAGCTGTCGGTGGTTGCTGCTGCTGCGGCTGCGGTGGAGCCAGCTGGGGCGTTGGCAGAAGCGTTTTGATAGCTGCATTGGCGAATTGCTGCAAATGTTGCAGCTGCTGCAGCTGCGTCGCCTGCCCTGCCTGCCCTGCCTGCTGTGGCTGCGGCTTGACCAGCTGTGAGCTCATCAAGTCCGAGGCCGTTGCCAAATCCCTCTGCTGATTGGCCATCATATCCGATTGCCTCTTGGCCTGATGCTTTTGAGCATCGCGCTGCCAGTACAGCGGCGGCTGTGGCAATTTCTGCAACAGACAAAGAGTTACATTCGTATCGTAGCTATACGCATTAAATAATATATCTTACAGGCATTTGACTAGGCAGCGGTGCCTGTGGCAGAGACTGCGACTGCGGCTGCGACTGCGGCTGCGAAGTGGACGGAACATGCATTGGCTGGGCCTGTTTACCCAGCTGGGATTGTATTTGATATACCAGCTGCAACTGTTGCTGTTGCAGCTGCAGTTGCTGCTTCTGTTGTTGTTGTTGCTGCTGCAGTTTCTGCTGCTGTTGTTGTTGCTGCAGTTTCTGCTGCTGTTGTTGCTGCTGCTGCTGTTGCTGCAGCTCCTGCTTTTGCTGCGACGATGGCTTCAGGCCCAACAGCAGCTTCAACGCCTGAGTTTGATCAGTGGGCGAGGCCGAGCCGCCTTGGCTGCGCGAATGCTGCTGCTGCTGCTGCTTCTGCGGCTGCTGCTGCTTCTGCGGCTGCTGCTGCTTCTGCGGCTGCTGCTGCTTCTGCTGTTGTTTTTGCTGCAGTTGCTGCTGCTGCTCGAGCTGATTGGCGCGCAACGGCAACGTCGGCTTGCTCGAGCTGCGCCAGTTCTGCAAGTGCATCTGATTCTTCTGGCTGGAAGCTGCCTCTTGATCTGCTGCTGCGGCTGCTGCGGCTGCTGTGGCTGCTGTGGCTGCTGCTTGAGCCGAAGTCGAGGCGGAGCTCGTGGCTGGCGCATCGCTGGGCCAATAGAACTCGTCGGCGATGCGCGTATTCATCGTGATCGCATTGTACTTGCTGCTCGCGGCCGTGACAAAGCGCGGCTGCTGCTTCTGCTGGTCGCGCCAGTCGCGGCGCATGGCGTCCGTGCGGGTCTGGAGGGGCGACGAGGCTGCCATTGTTGCCTGCTGCTTGGGCTGATACATCTCGTTGTTTTCTGAAAGAAGGAGCAGAGAGAGAGAATTAGCCAATGCTACTTGGTTCTCGGGCTGCTTCGGGGCTCACCGAGCGAGCTGATGATGATCAAGGCGCTCTCCGGCACCTTGTAGATGCGCTCGTCAGCTATGCCGTGTATGTCGCCGCAGTTGGTCACCGGGCGATCGAAGAGCAGCTCGCAGAACGTCTCCACTGCGTTCAGGCACTCCAGGCGCACGGGATTCGGGTCAGAGACCGGGTGTATGCCGATGACGGTGGCGGTGATGCCCACGGGCACCATGTAGATGGTGCGCACCACCACGACACGGTCGAAGAGGCGCACGGCGCCCGGCTTGCGGTAGACGTCGGCCAGCGTGACGTTCGGCTTGACCAGCAGGTGCGGCTTCACCTGCAGCTTGACATTCTTGACGGGCAGCATGCGCAGCTCATCGACAGCCTTTATCAGCAGCTCGACGGTCTCCTTGCAAACGGTGCGCGAGCCGCAAGTGATGCGGTCCACCTTCATGTGCGGCTGCTGGCGCACCCAGTTGGCCACGTTCTCGATGAGATGCTGGCCAATCGCGTTGGGAAAGATGTCCCCCTCGTAGACGAACTCACCGCGATCGCCGCTGCTCGAGAAGTACTCGACCACGGCCGGAAAGTTCTCAATATAGGAATGTATGAGTTCGACGGCCAGCGAGGAATAGAACCACTGGTTGTTGATGCGGCGGCAGTAGCCGGCGCGCTCCTCGTTCAAGCGGGGATACTTCAGCTGCAGCCCAATGTTGTGCTTGGCCACGTTCTCCATTTTCTCACGGCGCGGACCGAGCACCACCCAGACGGTGCCCGTGAGACGCCCCAGGCATTTGCTGTTCAAATTCAGCTCGCGGCACACCTTGTACGCGTTCATGAAGTCGCGATCCCGCTCCTCCTGCAGGAGACGTGCGGGCATCAACTCCGGCTCGGGGCCCACGCGGATGTTAACTGTAAAATCGCAAAACGAACACAAATTTATTAGTTTTCTGAAAAGCAGTCGGATCAGCATGCAACGACTGGCCAGGGTGACACCTACTGATAAAGCCTTTGTTAGAAGAATTCATTTTTTTTTTCTTTTTCTTTTTTTTGTATATTCAAAGAAAATCACTTAGTTTTGAAAACTCAAATCCAATTTGTCGTTGACTCTTGAACGGTCGAGAATCTTCTGAGTCCACCATATTTAATCGCTCGAACTTCATCTCGGCACATGGCAGAGCGAAAGAGACAAACACTGTATCTACCTGCAGGAAGTGTCATTGTCACTGCCATTTCTTCTTCTTGGTCTAGCTTGGAATTAGATGAGCGAGCGAGCGGGCTCATAGCAAACACGTGCGACGGAAGGAGACAGACTCTAGTCTAAGCTCTTCCAGTGAATGCCTGCACCCATACACATGCGTATGCAAATACGCACCTACACACATACGAATTGCGTGCGCTAATTGCGAATGTCAATGCGCAAAGTAATTAGATTGCAAATTCCCATTAAATCACTGCAATCGCTACTGAAGCAGATGGGAGATTAGATGGAATTCCTAATATTAATCATATTTTTAGTGTCGATCAACATTGTTCGGCTTAGTTTATGCAAATTTACTCAACAGCCTACGGCTGTGACGTCACACTGTGCACTTGACAACCTTTGAGCGGGCGGCAATGCGCAGGCAGCCAATGGAGTGAGGCTACACTGTTTGTCTCGCTCTGTCGCACGCGGTTGGCCTATGCCGGGCCAACGATCAAAATGGAGGACGAAATCTGAGTAGCCCGGCAAGCACATTGCAATAGGTTGCAATGTGTGGCACGTGGCACGTTGTTTTTTGCAAACAATGTAAGTTAGTCAAATGATTTGCATTGAAGGTGTTAGTAAGAGCTTTTAACATACCCTGCACACGGCCACAGCTGTAGACGAGCATTGGATCCAGCACGGTGCCCTCGCTGCCCGCATACGGACTGCCAATGAAGAAGACCGTGCTGCCCGTCGGGAAGAGCTGTTCGATTTTGTTGAAATGTGCGTGCATGTTGTCGCGCACCTTGATGTCGGAGACCACGCCCTGCGCCGGGTACGCCGTTAGGACACTGCTCCACGAGTCCTTCATGTAGACGCTGCCGCGCTGGCCGAACTCCACCGAGCTGCCGGTGTAGGTGCGTATATAGATGAGCACATCGTAGTTGGGAAACTTGATGGCCATGCGGCCGGTGAAGCTTTAAGGAGGAAAGTGGCAAAGGTGAGATTAGAAGCTGACGGGCGTGCGGCTTGGAGGCAATAACTCAACTGTTCCTCGAGCGACTTGCAGTCCGAGTCGAAGCGTCGCGGCTCATTCGAGCGCATGCCGTCGCGATCCACCTTTTTGTCGCGCGACGCGACGCTCTCCACCTTGGCCTTGATCAAGTGCGGCCAGCCAATGTACACCACCTGTCCCAGGTGCTGGGCCGCCACCGACTGGAGCGAGTCCTGGGCTTCGCGCTGGCGTGGCAGCAGGACCATGCTTTGGTTGCGGCTCGGCTGCTCGAAGACCTTGACGCGGTCGTGGCGCAACTCAAACTGCAGGCGAGCGTCCAGAGAGAGGCACGGGGAGAGAGAGAAGGTAAGTAAAAGTAATTCTATTTCCACAATTCCAGCTTACATCGAATTCCAAATGCTTCATGGTAGGAAAGCCTGGAAAGAAGACGTGGCGGGCCGCATTGGCCAGCTCCACGCACACAGTCTTTGGCAAATCGAGGGCGATTTCATCGGACCAACGGGCCTGCTCCGTGCAGAAGACGTTCTGCAGGGATTTGAGTGGCGCCAGGCCCTTCATTGGACCCTGGGACTTTGCGTTGTAATCGTACTGGTACATCGGCCCATGGCGATTCCTCTCGCGCTCCTCGACACTCAGCTGCGGCTCACAGTCGGCCATGGCGCTCAGCAGGCGCTTCTCCTCGATGAAGGGTATCAGCACCACGGCCTCCCAGTCGTGCTTCTTGCCATTCAGATCACTTTCGAATTCCGTGGGATAAAACTCGGCCAGCGGACTGTTCGGCTTCAGCATCAGGTCATGATACGCCATTGGCAGGAGATTGACGCTGGCCGCTGGCAGCACAGCCAGCAGCTGTGAACGATAGAAATGATCAGTGAGGAATACCCTGTAAAGGCTGAAAACTACATATATGCATAGGCTGAGTCATATTCCCATTGATGGTCATCTCTAGCTGAAGGAGCTGAGAGACTATTGTATACCCTGTAAATACTGAACCACGTAAGTGGAGCATATTTTCTTGACAATCCTATCTAATACATATGGGCTATCAGTTGCTCGGCTAAGATGACTGCATACCCTGTAAGTTATATGAAATTCACAGAAAATATCCTGTAAAAGCTGTAGGCAAATATTGATATCATTTCTAGTTGAAGAAGCAGCTGAGAGTCAACTGTATACCCTGTAAGTACTGAACATGTAAGTGACACATACTAACACATAACCAGCTTATCTAGTGTAAAATGAGCTTATCTAAAAGTACAGTATGGGCTAGCTAGTCTGTATTACGTATACCCCACAAACCTCAAAGAGTGTTTATAAGATTTCCTAACCAGCATAGTGATTGACTCTATATCTAGACAGCTTTCAAAATTCCAATTGTAAATGTGTAAGCCTTGGGATTGCCATGATTAGATTGTCTATATATCAGCCATATAATTGTATCGATCAAATTCGACTCTTTATTGTCATAGAGCTTAGCGTTTGGAATTACCTGTTGGAAGGGCAAAAAGGGTTTGCCCATCTTAAAATTCACTTTGGTATTCTTAATGTTGTTCAAATCGCTGATGAACGGGGCATAGTGAAAGGGATAATACCAGTCCCAACTCTGAACGCCCCGGTAGTAATAATCGAGTACCCATTGCAGGGCACTGATATAATGATAGCTCAGCTCGGCAATCAGATCCTCATGCATTTCGTTCTTGAACTTATTTCGGTAATAGTTGCGCTTGTAGTTCTGAAATTCGCTGCGCAGCACTGCCTGCTCGTCGTCGGGATCCACATCGTCGTCGTCATCCTCGTACAGCTGAAAATGGAAAATGGGAAAGCGTTGGTAGGCGAAGGCTTCTGCAATTCAATGTCACTTCCTATTGGCTTTCAATTCTGCTGGAGTTGATTCCAATTGTTGCTGAAGTGGATTCCAATTGGAAGTCTGCATTCGCTAACAGCCAATGCAGAGCAAACGAAACATGAATGCTGTTCGCTCTTTCGCGCACATTGCCCGGGCGAGCGGCCAATGTGAAAGCAAAAGCTTAACTCGAAATCTATTTCAACAGGCGCGCACACACACACACAAACACAGAGGAATTTGCAAAAGCTGAAAGCTCCCTTGCATATTTCAATGAAATGCAAAAGACTTGCGCTCTCGCTCGCTCGCACGTACTGCATAAGCACTTGGACAATGCGTTCGCTCAGCTGAAATCGAAAAAGGGGCAATTGGCAATTGAAAAGGGAAATGCTGCTCGAAATTGTTTTCCTGCTGCATCCAATCGAATTGAGCAGGGACAATGATTCGGTTTACTTGCAGTTGCACTGTTAAAGCTAAATATCATGGGAAATTTGTTTTGAAAATGATGTACTAAGTAACGGAATCCGAGATGCGAAGTATGGAAATAGTCAAGGTCGCATAAATAATAAGGTATTTTTAACATGTCAAAGGGCTTTTGATTCATCCTCATGTGAGCGGAAATATGTCATGCGAAAAAGGGAAATTAATATGGGCTCTTTGATTTCCCTTTATGTAATTGGATATTAATATGGGATAGTTTACATTCAATTCATGTAAAAGGAAATTAAGATGGCATACTTGAATTACCCTCGTGTGAGGAGAACATAATATGGGATATTTTTTAAAGGGAAATTAATTGAGAATATTTGAATTACCTTCATGCTCTCATCGATGAGCGCAGCCAGATCCTCATTGAAGCTCTCGCCGCTGTCATTCTTGATGTCGTCAATGTCCACGTCGAACGCCTCCGTCTTGGCATTCATGTATTTGAGATCGTCGCTGTGCTCCTCGAAGAGCTGCAGCTCCACCTCGCTCAGAGCGTGCAGGAACTGCTGCAATCGATCCAAATTCAGTTTCCCATGCTCATTGATATTTCCGCCCAGTTGCTTGTAGATGCGGATGTACGTTTTGTAGAGCAAGGGCAGGGCGTTCGACGAGATGTGCAGGCAGGGCAAGTGCGGTATGAAATCATTGCCCACCATGAAGCCCATCAGGACCCAGTCATCGATCAGTTGGGCAACATCGAGCTTCTGCTCTGGGGTCGACAGCTCGTGGAACTCTAGTTCCAGATATTCGCGCAACAGGCCCAGATGGAGCAAGAAAAAACGCGTCTCCTCTACTGAGGTACGCTTCACGTTTCGGCCAAACTTCACCTCCTCGCGCAGCACAACGAAATGCAGCTCGTGGGTGCAGAGACCAAGGATGATCAAATCGGCATCCAGGCCATAGAGGCAGTGACGCGTGTTGGGGTCGAAGTTGGGCTGAGCCTTCATGTAGCGTATGTAGTCCATTATCTTGTGCTCTCCCTCGCCGGGTGTCTCCTGGCCGCTGAGTATGACCCGACATTTCTGCCAGAGGGGATCCTGCGAGATTTTCGTGCGCAGAAAGCAGCGCAGGCCGGCCTGCAATCGCACCATGAACTCTGTGCCCGGCGTAATGCAGTTGCTGTCGAATCGTTCGTGCTCGCGCTTCTCGCCACGCTGTCGCGCCTTCGCCTCCAATTGCTCCGCCTCGCGGGCCGAGCGAAAGCGCCTGCTGCGCTGCTGGTTCATTTTGGCACGTGGTGCGACGCCATCTACGGCCAGGAAAAACAACTTTTGCGGCTTGATCAAATAGAAGAGCTTGTCGATGTAGTTGTAAATGTCCTGAAAGATCTGCGCCTCCTCCAAATGGAAGTGGATATTACTATCATCCGGGTGCGAGCAGTTATGGACAATCCCGTTCATGTCCAGGTAGAGATTGTCGAACTCAGGAATCTAAACAAGAGAATGGGGTTGCAGTTGACTTCCCTTTGTTATCCTACACATAGTTACATATACATATGTATATGTGTATGTATATATTTGTGTATATACTTACACTATGCTCACGCGCCAATTCACTGAGGCAAGGATATCGTTCGCTGATATAACGAAAAAACTTGGGTACACCCATCTTGGCGGATGTATTTCAGACCGTTGTCGGAGTCGTATAGCGATATTAATTGCGTCCTCGCCACGTCTTTTGCAATAACAATGACAACAAATCGCGTTCTTTGCTGTCTGGTGCTGCACAGAAAATTTCGACTTGTTTGTATGCAGCGTGACTGCAGTCTATATGTGCCTAAATGCCCATTTTCGTTTACCAAATACTAACAAAAATACTGTGCCTCCATAAAAAACAGCATAAAAATGACACAAAAAACAGCTGTTAATTGATCGTAGTTTTAAATGTGTTTATGTTACTCATAAAAACGATAGATGATATTAAATTATATCTGTCATATCTGTTGATTTAAGACTTAACAAGTACTAATATTCGTTTTTGGTATAACGAAAAGAAAGCTTGTATACTCGTTTATTTCTATGACATTACTTACTTTCAAAATACCAACAATAAATACCAAAAGTTACAGTTATGAAAGCACCCATGGAACAACTGTCCGCTGATCGTAGCTAGTGATGTACTTCAATCAATCCGATAGATCGCAACGGAATATCTAGATGTACAGATAATTATTGTTTCTGAATTGGAAATATATATTAAGAGGACTGCGTATGAATTGAACTTTTAATAACTGTCAATAAAAAAAAAAACAGAGGTTTCTTTCGAGTTGAACATCCATTCTCTATAACAATCGATATACCCTTGCGTTACATATCACTCAGTCTGTTGTCACCCAGCCAACGAAACAGCTGTCAAAGACAAAAACAACAAGAAAACGTTTGTGTTCCAAAATTTTACGTAATTTCTATTGTGATTTGCCGTTGATAGCTCGAGATTGTGTGAAAAGGAAAACAAATAAAAATGTCGTTAATCCGTCAGGCGTTGGCACGCACAGCGCCCACAATGCAGTTGTAAGTGCAAAGCCATCTCCATCAAAGTTGAGTTCCTTCGGAAGGTTGAATCTTATTTTTCTATTTGACAGCACGGCACGCCGCTGGGCCTCCTCGCAGGACGGCGGTCCACTTGACCCGAGCACTGCCCTCGCACGTCCCGAAGAACTGGACCAACGCAATAAACTGAGTGGCAAAATAACCGTGCCCGTTGAAGTCAATCTCGGCCCCATATCCGGCGTGCCCGAGGAGCAGCTGAAAGAGCGCCGCGTTCGTATTCATATCCCACCCAAAAATGCGATGCAGAGTGGAACGGATAACATAAATACATGGCAAATCGAGTTTGATAATCGCGAGCGCTGGGAAAATCCTCTCATGGGCTGGGCATCAACGTAAGCGAAATGTGAAATTCTTTCCAGCGGCTCCCGTCTGATTAAATCCCTCCTCTCTCTCTCTGTCCCTATCCCTTCTATCTATCTCGCTCGCACTCATTTCAGTGGCGACCCATTGTCCAATCTGAATGTGAAGTTCGGCTCCAAGGAGGAGGCCATCACATATTGCGAGCGCAACGGCTGGCGCTGGTTCGTCGACGGCGATCTGAAGCCCAAGAAGGAGCGCGTCAAGAACTATGGCATCAATTTCTCATGGAATAAGCGCACACGCGTCTCCACCAAGTGAAGCAACGCCATCCACACGCAAACGCATGCGATGCACTTGCTCCAGTTCCGGTTAGCAGAGAACAATGGCGCTTTATTATAATTTAATTGCTATTAAAACTATTAACAAGTCAAATCCCAATGTCAAATATTGCGTTTGTAGCCCGATAGAGGCTGGGTCGCTGTTGCTTCTTTAGCACTGTAGCCCCTTTGCGTCTTGTGCCGCTGCTTCCATTCGGACTCCTCGACTAGGATTGCTTCTCAGTTTCATCATTGCTGCTTCATTTCCGTCTGATTTCGGCATTTCCCCCTCGGATCACGCCTCCACACAATGTTCTATAAAGCCTTGAACTCGGATTGATCTAATGATTCCACAGGGAAGTGGCCGCAATCCTGTGCGCTCCTCGATTGCTGCAAGTTCATTTGATTGCCTCTTCAACATGAGATTGGGTCACGCCTGTGACTACTTCGACTCCTTTCTCGCTTGCTGGAACTTGGACTATGTCTTCGGCTGTATTTCGGATTTTTATTTGTACTGTGTCTCCGACTCGGACTTCGACTTCGACTTCGCCCACGTCTTCTGTCTGGGGTGCGGCTGCTCCTGTGGGTCTGATTGCTCGAGTTTCCGCTGCTCTTTCGACTGCTGCTGCTCTTACTGGGATTGTGACTGGTTCTATGATTACTTCTACTCCTGCTCTTACGGCTTTTTTTCATCTTTCTACTCCTACTCCTACTCCTGCTTCTGCTCTTTCGTCTGCCATCTCGTTTCTCCGGCTTTCTCCATTCGCTGTGATCTTTGTCAGATACACGCTGCTGCTGCTGCTGCTTTAGAGCCTGCATTTGGAGGTGCACGAGCTGCTGCATCTCCTCCAACAATGTCATCTTGCTCTTGCGATGCCTTCTCGCTCTCTTGTGCGCTCTTTTTGTCTCTGCCACAAGCTCAGCGAAATCCGCCTGCTGCTCGAAACTGAGCCGCTGTCGTGGCGTGCAGCTGAGCACGTGCTCGTAGAGGATCAGCTTCTCTTCGGAGCTATAGTTCAATTGCAAATCCGCGAAAGAATCAACTGGGGCGAGCCGTTTGCCTGGCAACAGTTGCTGCAGCACTGCTGCATTTAACTGTACGCTGTGCTCTGCTGAAGAGCAGCAACTTGGTGGCAGCTGTTCGACGACGACTTCGTCTGGTTGGGACACCGAACGATGCAACTAAATAAGCAAACAAATCAGTTTCGCTTCAGCTGATGAAGCTTTCTTCCACTACTTACCTTCTGCACGCCTTCCTCCGTCCAATTGAGCCGTTGCAATAGCTGCTGCAGTTGCGCTCTGCTCTTGGCTACATAATCACGCAGTGCCTCCTGACTAGTGGACATTTCAATTTCAATTTGTGAAATTTGCAATAAGAATTATTTACAGCCGGCTTGCTGAAGAGCGCACTTTGACATTAATGCGCTATAAATAGCAAGGTCACACTGCCAAATTCCAAACAACGGTCTAGAGCAAGCCCAATTGCTTTTAAAAAGTGAACAGCATAACTGTGCAATTTTCTAGTTGAATTAGTTGAAATTCGATTTAGTTTGTAAAGTTTAGCAACCGTTGATCGTTCATATCTGGAAATACGGGTAAGTTCTGGATTGCCATTGTTTCTAACCGGCATGTTGCCTTTTGACATTAGTTATCGCATCAAAGTCACAGTGAATAAACGGTGATGGAGATGATCATAATGAGGACTACTCGGTGTTTCACCGAAATTGAATTTTCTGTATGTACCCCACACACTTCTAGCCTTATATGGATGCAGTTCAGCTTATTTCGCATCTCGTTCGAAAGAGATAAAAGCACTCCTCACTACCGGCATACTGCAGCCAAACAGTTTGTTGTTTAGCGAGGCAAGGTCACACTGACACAAGTACTAAACAAAATATTGCAGTTTGCAAAATGAATTTCAATTTGTGTTAACATTAATACAGAGAGTAAAATGTACAAATGAACAAGTTGCACTTAAAGCCTACAGAATGCCAATCGAAATGTTATGCTTATAGAAACTTAACTCCAAAAGAGAACGGTGAAAGCCATTAGCAGGCAAGCGGCTCCAACCCAAGGGGACTTTCGTTCGCCAATTCGCGCTAGTTTCCAAAATGTGCCCAGCAACCTGTAATATGCATTTGCAACTGATTTAATTAACATTTTCACAATTGCTTGAATCTAAACCATTTACCCCGTTTTGTTGCGATCAATGATGCTGGGGAAAAGTGAACGCAAATAGGCACAGGTGCATATTAACAGCAATATGACCGACAATAAGCTTTGAAAATTGAACAATGCACTCTGCAAGATATTTCACAATTAATTTAATTATTTAATTTCATATATCACACAAGACATTACCATTTTGATGTGCGTAGCTTAAAAAAACGAAAACAAAAACAAATTATACTGTGACGTGCCCTATTAAGTGTGACCGAGCTTGCGATGTTCTTTTATCGAAATATCCCAACACGTACCATAACTTCGTGCCTATCGATTATGCGTGTGCATGTGCAGTGCACATATGTGTGTGTTTGTTCTTAACAAGTGCACATATCGCTAACCGATATATAGCAATCGATAGCTTCAGTCAGCCCTACATCGACGTCTCTAATAGACTGTGGTTTTTTTTTTTTTTTGCTCTATTACTAGTTTTTTGTCGTAATTGTAATTTGATCGTCGAATTGCAAAACATCTTTGAATTAGCCATTGTGGCTGCTGCAACAAGAACTTCATGAGTGGCTCGATTACAATAGCGAACGAATTGAAAGAATCCAATTGCGTCAAATAAGAAAAAAAAATACTTTTTACTCCGTTGTCGTGTGTGCTTGTCGGTGTACGTGCGTACATGTGTATGTGGGACGGTCGGTCCCTGCCTATGTGTGTGTGCTGCACATAGCGCATCGTTCGGTTGAACTTTAAATATACAAACACAGTTGAATAAAATAGCGGATTGTACATTTCTTATGAAAAGAACAGTACAGAAACACAGAAATAAAGTCAATGTATGTGTATAGCAATTCTACTGGTGAATTTGTAGCCCGTGGATAAGTTAATAATTTGTTGATTGTGCTCTCGCACTGCAATTTGCGGGCAAAAGAACTACTTTTTTTTTTTGTATATCTTCTCGTATATAACAAAAATCGGTAATACCACAAATACAAATGTTCATATTGTGTGCGTGTGTGCGTTCACATTTTTTTTGTTTTATTTTTTTTTGAGAATTTTTGCCGCTGAAGCGCTCCTGTGTATGTGTGTGTGCGAGTGAGCCAGCGAACAGGCACCGAAAACAACAACAGCAAGAAAGCACATCCACTGTCGCAGCTCTCTCACACACACACAAATTGTCATGTTGACACTCTTGTGGATTCGGACTGCAATTGCATAGCGGTAAGTGTGTTCATACAAAATTTCCCCCAGATAGTGATAAAGAGAAGTGGGAGGTGGGAGAGAAAAACACAATTTAAGTTCGAATGTAAGTTAGGTCATTTTTGATTATTTATAAGGAATCATGTTGTATGGACATAAATATACATATGTATTTATACACAAATATAAGCGTATACAACTACACATACACATGTAAGTGTATGTGTGTGCGTGTGTCGCCATCGTCTCCAGTGCCTACATATGTATTGGTGCTGTTAAATTTTTGCCATTTTTTACAGTACACCAGTCATCATATAGTTAAGTGCACTTCACTGCAAAAATGTGCGCTATGGAAAAAGCAAAGGTCTAAAACTTTATGTGAGAGAATACAATGATATACATATTGAATGATGTATAAGTGCAAAAGTGAATGATGTATAATTATTTACAATGTTATCAATGGTTCTATGCAAATGAACAAGTTTGTGTTGTTATTTGCTGCTGCTTTTGTTGTTACTTCTGCCGCTCTCATTTCCCCTCCATTTCGTCTTCGGCACTGTTACCGTTGTCGCCGTCGTCGTTTTCGTCGCCGTCGCCATCATTCTCGTCGTTGAGCTGCGTTCAGTCGATATCTTCTCATCGTAGACATTCGCCAAAAAAGTGTTGGCAAAGCAGCAGCAGTGACATTAATGCCAGCAGCCGAAGAAAAACAGAAGAAGAAGCAGTAGTACCATTTATAAAAGCGCGCAAATTAGTACATAGAAGCGAAGGAAATAAAATAAAATCAACTTATTAAATTGAAACAAAAAGCACAAATAATTAACAACACAGTATTATTTTCATATTTTTTTGTAAAGTGCGCAACAACAAAAAGTGAGTGTGTTTTTTTCGGTGTCTCTCTCTCTCTCTCTCGCTGCGTGGCTGCTGCGCTTGTGCCTGTATTTGTGCAAGAGTATATGTGCGGCTGAGAGCGAACGAGCGAGAACGTGAAAAAGTTTTAAAAACTCTGCCAGCAGGCAGAGCAACAAGCTTTTCATCGCGTATGAAAGAAAAGGTAAGAGATGCATTCGAATTCGTTGATATTTTTGATGTTTTCCTTTTGAAACAGAAACATATGTACACGCACATGCATACACGCACACCATCTCACAAAACAGAAAAACACTATTAGAAGTTAAAAAAGAAAATTTCATTGATTGCATGCTGCGGCTTTTTGAGTAAATTAAATGTAAATAATTTGGCGCTCTTTGGTTTTTGTTATTGTATTCTCTATGTTATGTTATTTTTTGTTAAATTTTAATTTATAAGCTTTATTATCATATATTAATTTGTTCAATTTTGTATACATAAGAAAATTAGTGTATTTTATGCAATATTATTTCTTAATTCTAAATTTTTTTGTGACATTTCATCTTGCACTCAACTTTTTTTTTCTCTCTTTTGTGCTCATATTTGAACTCTTACGCGCTCTTTGCCGAACGCGCTCTTGTTGTCTCTCTTACACACTCAAGAATGTTTTTACCGTAAAAAGCTTTGGCAGAGTTGCATTTGAAGCGCGTGCGACTCTTGGTGCTTTTCCGTATTCAAATGCCTCGCGCGCGTTTGTGTTGATAAAAAGAACTTTTGTTTTATTTTATTTTTTAGCGCGCAAACCAGTTTTTTTTTTTTGTTTTTAACAACAAAATGGCTCAACTTGAATTTTTATAAGCTTTACTAGAGAATTTGCCGCTTGCCAGTTGTTGGCTGTTTAGGCTGTTTGATTTCGCTCTAGAATTTCATTTAATTGCAATGTAATAAATATGAAAGAAAAACACATGTTTTCTTCCATGCATGCATGAGTATATTCAAGTAAAAAACATTTCTTTGCTTCTGGGAATTTCAATTCAATCGAAATATAGTTTTTCGGAATCGAGACGAGCGCAAACAAAGATTTGCTTATCTCGTTTTAATCTCTATTCTACATATTTTGAATTCCTATCCTCTGTCCGTTTATGACGTCAGAGAACCATACATTACCAGATAATGGAAAAAAAGTGCTGCCCATCAGCGAGAGCTTGCAGCTAGAATGAGGACCAATTGGATCTGAATGTGAAGCTGGCGCTAAGGCGCAGTTTTCAGCTTTTGATGCTCTTTTCCTTTATTGTTATACCTGCACAGCATTGTCAAGGCCATTATTGCTGCTCTTTGTCTAACACATGTTGCATGTAGCTCAAGTTTGCTTCGCCTTGTCTTGCATAGTGGTTCGGCTCTTCTTGCACTGCGTACACATTACATGCAAAAGTAATGCTTTTGCAGTATAGTCAAGTGAAAGCAAGAGAGAGAGAAAGAGCTAAAGTCTAGTGTTCGACACTAGTTGCTTTTCGGTCACACACTCTTTGCATTTCTCATTAGATTGTTGCGCGCAATTCCCCAACCTCCTCTCTCTTCTCTTTACGTTTTGTATAATAACTTTTCATTATCGATTTGCGTAATTTGGCAACAAATAAAATATTAAACAGGCAAAAAAAGCAAATAACATTCTAGGCACAGTGGTATGAAAGCTAGAAAAAAAAAATATTTATATATTTGCTTGTATATATTTGAATACCAATTGCATTATATATGGAGCTCTCTGTTGCATCTTAGAAAAAAATAGTTAGGCAAAACAACGTCAACAAGAACGGCAACATTGTTGTCACCTGTACTAAAAATGTGCTAATTAAATTAGGAAATATAAAGCCTTACACAATTACATACATATCTACAATCAGTGTTTGTATGTGTGGGGCAAGTGCAATAGACGTTGTTTTCGTCATGGGACACGCGTTGCGCGAATTCTTATCACATTTATTGCGGTATCGCTGGCAGTGCTGCTACCGTTCATAATCCACGCATTAACAACTTTTTCGACAACGCAATCGCCTTCAAAGTGCTGCGCATATTAGCTTTTTTGTGTGCGTTATTTAGCTGTTTTTATTTGAATTTCTTTTGAATATAATCAATGTGAATTTCTAAATGCTTTACATATGTATGTGGTAGGTGTGAGTATATGTTTCATGCAATAATGCGGCATGTCGAATACTGCAGTTTATATATAAAATGTACAATGAAACTGACTTCATATGCGCATTGCCTCTGCGGTCAGCGGCGCAGCACTGACTGCAAGCGAAAGCACAAGAGAGAGTGCTGCGTGTACTAGCTATTTTAATGTGCCAAATCTAGCTGTTTATATCAACACATCGCTAAATGTTATATACATAAATGTGTGTGTAAATGTATTATGTCAAGAAATACAGATTGATATAAATATATATGCATATATGTACAAATATGCATATATATTTACATATAATAAAATATAACAATGAAATAAGTATTTATTCTAGCTTTATTTTATGTGCGCTTCACTAGCAATGTGTTGCTTGATAGTGACGACGCGTCATCGCCAGCGTCTCCGTCGCAACGATCGTTCGCGTGCCATTATTCGCTGCTTTTTGCTGTTTTGCTCATTCTTATTTTGACAAGCGACGTGTGCGGAACGCATTTGCGCGCGTCGGAATTTTGTCTGATCAAATTTCGTTTACCTTTTTGTGCGTAGTGCGGATCAAGCAGACTTAAAACACGCACACACCTATCTATACACATACACACATATGCAGGCGAAGCACACACACACACACATGCGAGCTAGTTGTGTCCATATGTGAACTGTGGTGTAACTGTGTTTGTGTTATTTTTTTTTCTTCACTTTCGTGTCTCTCTCAATATACATATATATATTGGTGTGTGAGTGTGTATGTGTGCATCAGCTTTGTTTGCAAAACGCAAAAGTATCAAAGGAAGCGCCAGCAGCACGAGTGCGCTGCATTAGCAGCGCTGTAATAATAACAGCAACAGTAATGGCTCAATGCTGTGAGACGACAACAACAACGGCGACAATGTCCACGCGATTTGGTGGCAGCACTGGCCGTCAGGCAACGCCGGCGCCGGCCTCCGCTGCTGCACTGCTATGTATGTATAATTCAAAGCACCCTGTATTTAACACACTAAACTCTCATACACAACACCAACAACAACATCAACATACACACACACACACATGTACTTGCACTTGAGCTTCATTCTTTTACTGCTACTCTCATTATTGTTCTTGTTGTTGTTGCTGTCGAAAATTATGCTGACTGCTGTTGCTACTTCTTCTCGGTATTCTTTTTCGCCCGTCTGCTTTGCGTGTGACATACATTAGTTTACAATCGCGTGATTTATATTTACTTGTTCTTTTCTTTTTTGCTATTTTCTATAAAGTTTAATGACTTATTAATATTTCTACATATGTATGTATTTCGTTTGGGCTTTTTAACTGTGTTCTTATTGTTTTACCTTGTCTGCCTATTGTCAGTGCTACAGGCATGCACAAATCTGCATATGCATGCATGTATGTGAGTGTGTATGCAGTGGGTGTGTCTGTGCCTGCCTATGTGAGATTGGTCTTGGTCACACTGTGGCTCTGATATTATGGGCAGACCACATACGAATGCAGCGACAGCTGCTTCGCCGCCGTGGTTGTTGCTGTTGTTGATGTTTTTGTTATGCCGTTACAGCTATTTGTCATCATGATGATCATTATTATCTTGGTGAACTTCATCATCGTATGATCATTCGTAATCATCAAAACAAAAACACAGCTAAACTCGACAACATTTATTTTTATTTTTGTTATTGTTTTTCGTTTTTGCTCTTTCTCGAATATATTAGAATTATTTTTTTGTTTTCAGTTTTTGTTTTATTCTATTTTTGTGAATTTCCGCCTTCAGACTTCTGAACTGTTTGTTAGTTTGATGAGATTTTGTATAGAAAGATGAGACGAAAACATCTAAATAAATATATCTAGACTTTCATAATTTTTTTTTTTCGAATGTGGTCTAGTCAACCGGAATTATTGTGTGAAGCAAACATTGCGAATGTTTTTTTGGCCTTGAGCACTTTATAATTGATTTTTGGCTTTGGCAAAATTTGCAAACAATGGCCAAAAGCTTAAATGGAATTTGCTTTTGTGTGTGTGGCCTTTGCCAATGGGTGAAAGCTGGGTGATGGGGCGCTGCTCTTCTGCAAACATCGAGAGAGAGAGAGAGGGGGAAGGTTGAAAAGTAGGCGAAAGAATGAAATCAACGGTAAACGATCGGTAAGCCCGGCTTTAGCGGCACTTTTGATGAGTAATGTTAGAGAGCGTGGGGGAGCGAGACAGAAGAAATGGTATGCGAGAGTAAGAAGGGTGGAGCGACATTGTTGTTTGTTATAAAACACGTTTATTGCTGGCTTGAGCCCTGCGTCCCAAGTAAATGCAAATGCAAATGCAATAAAAATAATAACAACAACAACAACAACAGCAACAGTAAAATAATTATAATCGAAAATGAAAGTGCTGTATAAGACAATGCACTTTATAAGCAAATATTATAAATAACTGCATAAGGGAAGAGAAGAAGGAGGGGAAGGAGAAGGAGGAAGCGACATTGCAATTGGAATTGTCAATGTCAAGGTGAACGAATATATTTTTGATGTTGTTGGCGCAGAGGCGCGCCGTAGAGAAATCGGAAATGAGGCAAAATGTTGCCTTGCACAGTGGGGCAAAGCAGACAATTTGGTAAAATACTATATTGTATTATGTAAGTTTATTTTAATCAAATTTTCACTGACTTCAGACGTAGCAACGCTCCCCACCATCGTGCGCTTCAAGAAATTTGCTCACGTACTTCCACCTTTTATAACTGTGTTTTTTTTTTTCTTTGTTTCTGATTAGATTGATGTGCTAACTTTAAATAGGTCTGATTCAAACAAACTTTCTCTTTCACAACAATTGTTAATGATGCTTTATCACAGGTTTCACCATTATCTGAGCCATTTTTAACACTGACAGCGTTTAGTGTTGCAAAAACATCCAAGTCAAATATTGCAAATTGTTGCAAAGTAAAATGCTCTATGTTGATATAGAAATAAAGATAATGCAAGAGTATATCTTTGTGTTGGGCATAACCGACTGTCTGATACTTGCTCCCAACTGATGTAAGTCAATGCAGAGATATTTCTGCAGCTAACTTAGCATAGGTCTATCTGCAGGGAAAGAGCTTAATAGGTATATATACATTCAAATTTAAAGAAATGTTGTTCTTTTTGTTTTCTTCACTCGCTTTTTATCTCATAGGTAAGAATTGTTTATCTCGGCGCTCTTTTTTTTTTTTTTTTGTTACTTTTGCATGGGGCTTACGGATGTCTGACGTGAGTTATCAGTGCGAAATTAATGGTGTTAGTGTTATAATTAACACATATTCATATATACATAGATAGGGAGAGAAGACCGAGGCATATGATGTTTATGGAAGATAACTGTATATGCTTAACGCAGTGGCAATCGTTTGTTTGTTGACATGAACTCCCGATTGCCTCCGGTATCTATAAATAAGTGCATAAACAGCTTAACCTCGATGATTGATTGATTAAAGCTCAAAGAGTTCAATTATAGGGTAGCGGCAAGTCGTTCAGCAATTGTCGTACACTTGATTTTTTAGAGTATCTTTACGGTACATCATCGTTGATTGATTAAGAGTTAGATGAAAATGTTTAAACAAGTTTTTCAGATTGACTAGGGTATATCTGGTAGTTGTTCATGCAGTTATCAGACACATAGTTGACTTATTAGGGTATCTGCTGGTCGATCACGCCTGTTGATTCTTCTTTTATGCGTGTTTGGCTTATCGTCGCTTCATACATACATATGTCTGCATATTTTGTTGCTTTCGATAAGAGTGGAGTGTGAAGGGTGTGGGGAAGGAGATGAAAGCAAATGGGGGGAAATAAACAAAACCACGATTATCTTATTAGAAACGCGTCAGCTGCTCGTGTACTGATTATAATTATTATATTTATTGTTGCTTTTCGCATAGTTGAAAAAATATATTGTCAAGGGGTTAATCAGAGTTCAGCAAGATTGTAATTGTAATTGTAATGGTAATTGTTGATTAAATACAAAATCGTTCATATCAATCGCAGTCGGAAATCATTTGGAATACATTTTGATCAACAGTCGAATAGCCGAAGAAGAAGAAGAAGAAGCAGAAATAAAAACAAATAATCACCGACTATGTTAAAGGTGAGTCTGTGCGGTCAGGCACACAGAGAGACAGAAAGACAGACGGACAGACTGACTGACAGGCTGTCCACGTGCAAGCCGAATGAATGCAACAGCTGGTTGATGATAAAGAATAAGGGGAAAGGAATGTTTGGCGTGAGTAGAGGTGCAAGAGGAAGACAGCAACGAGAGCAACTGCCAATGCGCTATGGCTGTGCACGAGATATACAGATGTAATGGGTGGGAAAGAGAGCGGGAGAGAGGCTGCATGCCAATTGGAGAATATGTGGAATCTAGTTCTGTTAGTTAAGCAAGACAAATGGCAGATAACGGTAGGCGAATGAAAAGAGAGTGAGAAAAGATGGAATGAAATGTATGAAGAGAGTGAGAGGGAGAGAGAGCGTAAGATTAAGAGTGGAGATGTAGATGAGCAGATTGAGAAGAGAAAAAGTGACAGGGGTAGTATAAATACCATCTAGTCAAGCAGCAAAATGAGTCCGATTGGACCATTTCGCTAATTTAGATGATGAGATGAGGCAATGGGCAGCTATAAATTCACTTGGAACGGATGCCAGCTAGAGAGCGGCACTGGAAAGTTTTGGAAAGTTGTTGTGATTGCTAATCAAATGATTTTGTTTTCTGTTTGCGTTCTCTTCCCTCTTCCCTCTTCTCTTCACTCATTTGGCGTGAGCTCGGCTATCGCCTGCTTCAGATCGCTAATCGCGGGTCAAATTTGGTTTCCAGTGACGCATTTCCATTCGTATTGCTGCTGCCAGTCCTAGTCCAGTCTATATTAGAAACTATGTACGTATAGAATATCATCTGTGCATGTATGCGTATGTACGTAATTATATGAATATGCAAATTGTCAGGCTGCGGCTCTTCTGACTATTGTTCAATTGCACTTGGAATCATTTAAGTGTATGCTCCTCCCTCATTCCTAGCCCTGCCCTAGAGCCTTCCAGTCCAGTTGGCATCTTGCGCAAGCAAACAATTGTGAACTAGTTCACACACACACACACACATACACATACACGCTCGCAGAGATAGATAGATTTGCTGCCAATCAGAATCAAAGCGAAAAATCGCGCCATTTGATTTCGTATTTAGTATTTTTTTTTTACGTAGTTTTTGTTTTACAGCTACTTTTTATGTATGGTGTCGTTGTTGTAGTTTTTCGCGTTGCTTTTCGTTTGATTTGTTGACCTCTGCCGTTGCCGGCAATCGAACGGGCGAGCAAGCAAGCAAGCAAAAAGTTTACAGTTACAAACTGCGCTGCCGGCTGCGCAGCTGGTAGTGCTGCTTCTGCTGCTGCGTAACAATTTCGCTTCGCTTCAAACTTTTTGCATTTAGTGCACAATTTTTAGTATTGCCGCATTGAGCGTTGTGTCTGCTGCTATACAGATTTTTTCTCTCACTTCATCTTTATTTTGTTTTATGTTTTTTCTTTAGTGTCTATATTGTTGTTGTTATTGTTCTCCTTATAATTTTGCACTCGCGCGTGTGCCTCTATCCCGCTCGCTCGCTCGCTCGCGCTGCTTAACAACTTTAAACTTGGTCGCAGGTAATTACAATTGCACACATACACACACTCACACACGCATACTAACTAGCTCAGGCGTAGATTCAATCACACCATATCACTTAGCTTTTGATTGGCTATCAGACTGCTTGTTACGAAACTCTTCAATTACTTGGTTTTTTTTTTCGCACTGCGCAGTTCTTGCTGCTGTTGACTGTAGTAGCTGTTGTTGTAATTGGAATCCAATTGGCTTAATGTGCCATTAACAACTATTTGTCGGGGCATTTCCAGTATGCAGCACCAACAGCATTTCCATTACATAAGTCAATTATAAATCACCTGTCGGCTAGTTTTCTTGATTATAAATCAATTTGCTGCTTAATAAATAATGTCAATGAATAAGGGGAATAAATGAGCATTGAGTTAGTCACACTTGTACACCTAGACATACTCAATGAAACTTCGCGGCAACAGTGCTGCCAACTATATAAGCCAAGGATTAGTTGATAGATCGATTTTGAAAATGTCACGATCTTGTATATATTAGAAGAATCTGTGTGTTAGATTTCTATAGTAAAATATATATGTAGATAGCCTAAAAAGTCGACCGTTTGCATTTATTTGATATATTCAATAGGCTAACTGTTATAAAAATTGTGTATACATATATTAAGAAAGACCTAGTTGATATATATTTTCGATGTAATATAGCTATATACATATACATAAATGAATAGAAAATATATCATATTCTGCATGTATTAATAATAAATGGTAAAGGAAATGCAAACTTCCATTCAAATATTCAGTAAAATAAAAAAAGGCTAAAAAGCTAAAAGTCATGTAACTAGTTTTAGCGTCTCTGAGGCGTGTGTGGCTTCACTGACGGTTGCTGCTACCTAAACAGCTGATCGCTTAGCACATGCATGCGCTGCCCATGTGTGTGTGAGTTTATGAGTGCATGTGTGTGTGTGTTTATGCTTGCATGCAGACGCCCGTGATTGTTTGGCCTGTCTGGCAACACTGACCTTGACAGTGTGATAACGAATGAAAGAGAGAGAGTGAGGGAGAGCGAGTTCTGCTGCCGTTGTTGTTGGGACTGTTTACCTACCTACACCATTGGCTTGCTTGCAAATATTCCATTGGCCTTTCCTTATCTCTCTCTCATTCGTTCGTTCTGCCTTGGAAATTTCTGAAGTTGCAATCAATTTACAGTAAATGACAAAAGAAAAGCAAAATATTATTGTATGCATGCAAAGAGCATGTGTTCACCGCTTCTTCTGCGTCTGCCATATCTTTTTGTCGCTACTTCTTTTTAAGTATATTTCTTTTATTTAGTTTTGTTGGGCATTTTCCAGATATACAACTTGGTTATCTTTTTTGCTTTTAATTCTGTCTTTTTCTTTATTTTCTTTAGTTTATGTAGTACATATGTATGTATATTTGCCAAATGAAATTATAAGCAGAGTATAAGAGCAACAACATCTACTACTACTACAACAATAACAACATCAGAAGCAGATAATTACAAGAATTTCGCTTTTATGCGCTAATCGATCGCTAATTACTACCAGGGCTGAACTATCGATAACAAGTCATTAATGAAGCCGACAGACACGCACGCACGAACGCACTCACGCACGCATCCCTCGTCTTCCAATGCCTATATTTAATATTTAATAAGCCAACAGCTGTTTGTTTTTGTTTCCATATAAAAACGTTTGTCGTCGCCCACGCACGTTTTTACTCTTCTGCTTCTACTTCTTCTTCTTCTTCTTCTGTTGCTGCTTCTTCTCATTCTCATTTGCTTTTCCGCACAAATTTTCCTTGCGCGCTTCAGTTCAGTCAGTCGTCGGTTTTCGTGTGCGTCAAGTGCAAAAAGAAGTCAAATATACATATCTACACATATGTAATAGATATAACTATGTATGTATTGCCAAAATATTTATGTATGAATGGATGTATGTGTGGGTGCGTCGATTGTGTGCGTGTGTCTGTATATACATATACATATGTACTTATCTAGTTGCTTTTTAATGCGTTCTCTTTACTATGTATTTATTTTGGACTGCGTCTGCTTCTAACGGGCTTTTTAAACTGGTTTATTTTCGGTATTTTCCATTAACTCGCATTTATTGTGTTCATTTTTTGGCACATACATACACACACACGCACATGCATATTTATGAATAATATTGTTGGGCTGCTTCATGTGGAACGCACAACAACAACAAACACTGCATCACACTCATTGCCCATCACAACAACAACAAGAACAACACAAACAACTAAAACAAATGCTCGCCTAATTTCATGTCTCACGCCACAACAACAACAATTGCTGAATGCAACAGCAGCAGCAGCTACAACAACGCAGCAGCAGCAACAATTGCCAAGCAGCAGCAACAGCAGCAGTAGCAACATCAGCAACAACAATTCAACACATTTCAATTACATTGCAGCTAGCAACAACAACAACAACAACAACAAGGAGGAAACAATAACGTCAACAACAACCACAGCAGCAGCAGCAGCAGCAACAACAACTAACAAATTGTTGCCCACGCTTCTTCAGCAAAAGTTAACATCCAACAACAACAACAACAACAATACCAACACCAATACCGATACCAACTCCTCTGTGACAACAACAACAACAACAACAACCTCTTCCGCATCTTCCGCTTCAACCATCTCTTCTTCCTCATCCTCCTCCTCCTCCTGTTCACCAGCTCTATTAACAACATCAAAGCCCTGCAATTGCTGTTGTGCTCACATTTTGCAACAACAACAATTGGAACAACGACAATTGCTACAACAAAACGCCGCAGTTGCCGCCGCCAAAGAGCTAGTACGTTCCGTAACAGCCACCAGCATCATGGATATGCCCTATAACACCTCGCCGTCGCTACGCGTGCGTACCACCTCATTGAATCAGCTGAAGAAGACAGCCGACTTGGCTATCGAAAATGAGCTGCATGTCTGTCCATCGGTCATGTCGGATGAATTGCGCAAGCTGCTGCCGCCCACATCGGAAACGGTGATGACCAAACCGTTTCCGATACGGGGCGAACGCACAATAGCCGATTGTACCACACCGCATGTGATCGCAATGGTGGGCCTGCCCGCCAGGGGCAAGACATTTATATCGAAGAAGCTGGCCCGTTATCTCAATTGGATTGGCATCGCGACGCGTGTCTTTAATTTGGGCGAGTATCGTCGTCATGCAACGACCGCCTACAAATCCCATGAATTCTTTCGTGCCGATAATGAGGAGGCAATGGCTATACGGAATCGCTGTGCCAATCAAGCACTACACGACTCGTGCGACTGGCTGCTGAGCGGACTCGGCAGCATCGCTGTCTTCGATGCTACGAACTCGACGCACGATCGCCGTCAATTGATCTATGACATTGTTGTTAAGCAACATGGGTTCCGTTTGTTCTTTGTGGAATCGATATGCGATGATCCGCAAATCATTGAACAGAATATATTGGAAGTGAAGGTCAGCTCACCAGATTACATCAATATGAATACGGAGCTGGTTGTACGGGATTTCCTGCAACGCATCGAGCACTACGAGGAGCGATATCAGCCGATTGACGAAGTCGCCGAATCGCATCTCAGCTTCATGAAGGTCTACAATGCCGGCAAAAAGGTGGTCGTCTATAATAACGAGGGTCACGTGGAATCGCGCATTGTCTACTATCTGATGAACATTCATATAACGCCACGCACCATCTATCTAACGCGTCACGGCGAATCGGAGCACAATTTGAGCGGCCTGATTGGTGGTGACTCGAACCTGAGTCCACGTGGACATCAATATGCCAGGGCGTTGGCCTCGTTCATCTCGCAGCAGCAGATCGATGGACTGCGCGTGTGGACCTCATGGATGAAGCGTGCCATACAGACGGTAGCGGATGTTAAGGCGCCCCAGGAGCGTTGGAAGGCCCTGAATGAGATCGATGCGGGCCACTGTGAGGAGATGACCTACGAGCAGATTAAGGAACGTTTTCCCGAAGAGTTCAAGGCGAGAGATCTCAATAAGTTCGCCTATCGGTATCCGCGTGGCGAGAGCTATGAGGATCTGGTGGCGCGACTTGAGCCCGTTATCATGGAATTGGAGCGTCAGGGCAATGTGCTCGTTGTCTCCCATCAGGCGGTGCTAAGGTGTTTGTTCGCCTACTTCCTGGACAAGTCGGCGGATGAGCTGCCCTATTTGTATGTCCCATTGCACACGGTCATTAAGCTGACGCCAGTCGCCTATGGCTGTAAGGTGGAGCATATCAAATTGCCAATCGATGCTGTCGATACGCATCGTCCAAAGCCAAAGATACCCGGAGATGTTAGCGAGCCGGGCCTGGATGGTCTAAGCGGTGAGCTGGTTGCGCCCGATGGCGTCGGCAAGGTGCTCATCGTGGGCGATGATGTGGCTACGGCAACGTCTGCCTCCAATGGCAACAGCGGTCGTACGGATCCAACCACCCAATGACATTGCACCAAGCCTCCAAAAACAATGAAATCCAAGACATTATAAAAAGGCAACCGAGCTAACCAAAAGACCCCCCTCCAGAATTCCCACCCACCAATCAATCAATTAACTAATCCGACCCTGGCTCTGTAATTGAAGTAAATGGAAAAGACATTTCCCTCACACAAACACACACACACACACAGACAGACAGCGCGGGCGTTGTAATGTTAGCATAAGCGTAATGATTGCTGTCAACAGAGCAGTTAACAGTCTAGTTGATTGCTGTAACAGTAGACTAGAGCGTTTAACAGCAGCCCTAAACACTGCTGTTAGCAGCGTACACAGAGTTAACATTAGAAGCTGCAACATGGCAGTCGGAAAACTAACAGCAGTTTTGAATTGTAGCACTTGGCTTTAACATAATCGTTAATTACTGTTAACAAATCAATTAACAGTGGCTCATCTAATATACTTAACAGTACCACCAAAAGTAAGGCGTTATGTTAGCGTAACAGAGAGCTTGAATTTGCATTTTGAGACAACACGCTTAACAGCTGCCGTTTGCAGCGTCGTAACAGTAGCAGTAACAGAGGCATAATAAAGTTCTGGCTGCTTACATTTAGTGTTAACTGCTTTAGCAATCAACCGATTGAAGAATACTTGAAGTACAACTGTATGAATCTTTGAATGGAATGGGCCTAGCAGCTTCTGTTATATCTTATGTTGACATAATCCCTCTAACAGTGTACTTACATAAAGCGACAGAAACAGAAACGGAAATTATTTATAGACTGCTTTAGGTGAACTGTGTTTATCCATGTTAGCTGTAACAGTAAGAGCTTCTGTACTTATGTAATGTTAGCATACTGTTAACAGTTAACAGTTGCCATACTCTCTTGTCCTCTATCTATGTATCTATATATTTCTTATGTCTCTCTCTATTATGCCTGTTTGCCTTTCCTGTTTTTATAGATATATAGACGTAGTATATCGATATATATCGAAACCTTTTTTTATATTGAATTTTGAATTAATGTTTGTAATTTGTCTGTCCTTGCTAAATTGTGATTGGAATGACGCTGTTATATCGATGTACTTTACGCTCACTAGAGAGATGAACCACTAGAAAAACTTAAAATTTTAATTCTAGCATTAGCTTAAGACGAAATATATATATATTTTTAACATATTTTCTTAAACAAAAACAAAACAAAAAAAAACATAAATTTTTTACAATTTTTATTCATGTTTAATAAAGATTTCACTTTTCTATTCAATGTTATATAAGAATGTAAGTAAAAACTCTATTGCGTATACTTGGTATACAGAAAGCGAACAAAAAATAAATGATACAAAAATCGATATACGATAACATTTTAATTGTAGCAACAGTACTTTCGATTTTGCGCCCTTTTTTCGCCTTGTTCATATCTGTTTTTGCGTGTCTATCAAATTTTGGATGCCTCATTTTACACTCATCATATATATATACACTCAAAATATATATAATATTACCTCTATTGTAAATTACTCAGAATGAAGAAATATTTCAATAAATTACTATAAAAAATCAACAACAACAACAAAACCAAAAACTTGTATTTGTCTTCTAATTTATGCCTATATGAATATACCCTGTACAGGGTGTATTGGTCTTAGGCATGATGTAGCACACAGAAAGCGTGGTAAAACCCATAAAATTTAAGCAACAGATGTGGATGATTTCGTTTCTAAACGAACGTGTCTAATTATATAAGAGCTAGTATAAGAACTATAGGATAATATAATAGATCTAAAATATGGATACAGCCTTAGTACTTCGCCATAGTATAAGAGACTACTTGGTATAAGAGCTAAACGTTGTCTAGGGAGGTAATCTAAGTTATGTAAGTTATATATGAAAATTAAAGTTTCCTTAAAGACTAGACTAGTTAAATACTATAAGAACCTGGCTATCTAGTAAGTACTATAAACTAGGCACTCAGCTTAAGGGAGTGCTATGGCTATAAGAGCAAAGGAGCAGGTACTCAACCCTTAGAACACTATTCAGAATTGATTTGGTGTAAGATCTGGAGAGTTAGTTATCTAGAATAAGAATTGAAAATGATTCTGCTATCTATTTACTATCACAGCTACGATGTTTCTGCCTCGAGATTGGCACGGAGCCCAAGGTAACTGCTAGTCGGATACTCCCGATTATTAAGTTAATTATCGATTATTAAGTTAAACCATTTGTATTACATACTAAATATTCCAGCTGTTATATGAATAAGAGATATACTTAAGTTACATTTAGATCGATTCACATTGTGGTTGTCCGTTCTTGAAATTGTTGCGTTCCCAGGCTTAGCTATTTAGCAGGGGGCTACACATGGGCGTATAGATATGTATTTGAAATTTGAACTCTACTGAAATTCTCTCTCTCAAAAGAATAAAAATCTACCAAATGCTTGCAGCTGTTCAGGCCCGATGTAAGCCGTGAAGCGGAACTTAGACATAAGGAATAGACGACCAGAAGTGAATCGAACTTGGACTACGAATTCGGATAACAGATATACATCGATAGAGCTTGTATATATATATATATAGATCTATATATATATATTCGCTGATAAAAGCATCAAAATGCCACGATTCCGCAACGAGGAGGTGGAGCGGCAGTACAAGGATGGGGACATCGTTTGGGTAAAGATTCACAACTCGGAGATTTGGTGGCCCGGCGAGGTGACCTCGTCGCAAGACTTTCGCTTTGTGAATAGCACGCGGCGACCCTACGCCGTCGTCGAATTCTTCAACGAACGAACATTGTAAGTAATACCCATTTCGGCTCTAACTCTGGGATTTGTGTTGACCTATTTGTTGTTGTTCTGTCTCTTGCAGCGAGCAGGTGAACACGTCCAAGCTGATCTATCCATTTCAGTGCGAGCACAAAAAGGACTTCATCAAGCTGGGCACCAGTGAGTATATATATGCGTATATTGATTGATTGATTGATGCATCCACAGCTGGCCGAAGGGCAATCGGAGACAGTTCAAGGGGAAAGGGAAAGAAAATAGAGAAAGTAATTGAGCAAGATTGTTGGTGAATGGTATAAGTGTATGATTGACTGATTGACTGGCATAGTTATCAAGCAAGATGAACGATGATTGTCTATTAGAGTGGTTCCTGAAGTCAAGTATTCAACACGATTGGCGCATCGATTGATCGATTAACCGATTACGTTACCAATCTGTCGTAATTGATTGAAGCACTTATTGTTCTATTGAAATGTTGGGCTTGATTGAGGCTGAATGATGTAGTGAACGGATGGATTAATCGATAACCGGAATAAATGAAAGAGCTTTGCAATGAACCATTATGCTATCGATAATCGATAATCAATTGAGAGACTTGTTTTGTTTTTTCTATATTCTCATATACATATATATATATAATATATATTTATATATATATATGTATATACGCATCATATTTATTTATAACTGAACTATTGTTAATGATGGCTGGATTCATAGACCGAAATATATGCACACACCTCTTTTCGATAAATTTAAAGAAGGGCAAAAAATAAATAATATTTGTATATAACTATACATATATATATATATATATACATATATGCATATATATGTACATGTATATATATATATATGAATGCATATTGAACTCTTTGATTGATGCTTGATTCGAGGAACACCGCGCTCTCACTCTCTCTCTCTCTCTCTCTCGTTGTCTCTCAACACTCTTGATTGATTGATTGAGAGTGGCTTGAGGCAGATCTTGTTATTCGCGCGACTTGATTGATTGATGACTGAGTAAGGAAATAATTCGATGAAGGCGTTTTCTCTTTCGTAACTCTTGATTGATTGGTGAAGAATTCCGAGGAAGATGCTTCACCCCTGTTGGCACTCCTAGATTGATGCATTGATTAGTTGAGAGAGATCGGCTGCGAGACCCTCTTGCTTGCCGGAACGAATTGATTGAGATTCAAGAAATAATTTACTGAATTGATTTTGAGAGAGATCCAGGGAAGTTTCGTCTGAGACTTGATCGTGTGTTTGTGTTGTGTTTGGCAGAGATTCCGGGAAACCTCTACGGAGACCATCCTACATTGCTTGATTGACTTCTAGTCGGGCCCTACTCGATCTCCATTGAGCTGTCGGACATGGCGGTGGCCAGCTCTGCATTGGACACCGATTCACCATCATCCCCAGCCTCGGCCTTTGCCTCTGCCTCGGTCTCGGCCTCCGGCTTGGCCTTGGTCTTGGCCATGCCCTTAACTCCTTCGCGTCCATCTGCGGCCTCTGTTGCAGCGCCATCTCCGGCGCCCGTCTCATAGTTCTTCAATAGCTGCTCGGCCCCTGCCGGCTCCACTTGCCATCCCTCCTCCGCTGACTGGGGCTTGGGCTTGGGCTTCTCCTGCTCCGCCGCCCCCTTCTGCTTGAGCCAGCGATGGCCGCAATAGTAGAGCAGCACGCCGGTGGCCAGGCCTCCCACGATGAAGGGGCGACTCTGGCGGCTGCCCAGCGCCTGCTGCAGCGGCCTCACATTGTCGACGATCGTCTGCAGGCGCAGCTGCGATATGGCGTTGGCTGCGCCGAGTATGTTGGACATGATGGCGCTGCCGCAGCAGCAGCCCTCCGCACCGACGCGCATATCCTCTGCTGCTGTCTTGCTTTTGCCCTCTTGCTGTTCTCCTTGCTGTCGATTCGTTTGGCTCTTTCTCTCTTGCTTGCTGTCGCGCTGTTGGTCTCTCACTCTCCGCCGCACCGTTTCGATCTCTTGCTTTGCCTCTTCGTTGGTTTATCGCAAATGCTCTTGACTCGTACAAAAATACAAAAATATATAAGTCTATATATTGATTTGATAAAAAGTAAAAAAAATATAAATTTATAGAAATATATATTTTTGAAGAGCTCGTATGCTCGATGTGAACAATACCAGATATAAAATAAATGTGAGCTCGACGAGAGCAGCTCAGAGCCAACGAAAGCTGTTCGAATAGACAGTAAACTATCCGATTACTAGATGATTATTTCTGTGTGAGTGGGAGAACGTCAGAAAGGGAGAGAAGGAGTGAGCGAGAGAGAAAAAGAAGATGAAGGAGAGCAAGCAAGGGAGAGATTGAAATGGAGATGTAGGCTGAAGGAAGAATGTCAGAATGGGAACGAAGGAATGAGTGAGAAAGGGGAGTGAAAAGAGAGATTGAAAAATTTTAGAGCAATAGAGAATGGGAGAGGTAGAGGAATAGAGAAAAATAAGAAGAAGGAGAGCAAACAAGGCAGAGATTGAGATGTAGATGTAGGCTGGTGGAAGAATGTCAGAATGGAAGAGAAAGAGAAGTGAAAAATTGGAAAGTAACAGAGAATGGGAGAGAAAGGAAGAGAGAGAAAAAGAAGAAGAAGGAGAGCAAGGAAGACAAAGATTGAGATTTAAAGAGCAGAGAACTGCACAGATAGCGGAGGGACGACAAAGAGTAGAAAGCGAATGGCAAGAATGAGAAATAGAAGAACGAATGGAAATACGTAAGAGAGGGGCGCTTCGCCTCCAAGAACATCCATGTACGACTCGCATTGATATCTGAACTTGCATTTGCTTTTGCTTTTGCTTTACAGGAAAATCCGTGACAGCCGATATGAGGGAGAAGTTCAACGAGGACGTGAGACACGCCGAAAGTCGCTTGGCCGCCGAACGGAGTTCGGAGAGCGCGGAGCCAGCGGTGAGCCGTGAGAGCTTGATTAAGGCATTGCTATCGAGCACCGTCACCACCGCCACTGTGGGCACCAATACCACCGTCTCTATCGGCGCCGGCGCCGGCACCAGCAACAACAACAACAACAACAGCGCCAGCGGCAGCGGCAGCAGCAATGCTGTAAATAATCGCAACTACAACAACAGCAACAGCAACAACAATCGGGATGATCAGCTAAATAATAATCGCTACAACAACCACAACAACAGCAACAACTACAATAACAACAACAGTCAAACCGTCAACAATAATCACCTCAACAGTAGCAGCAGCAGCAGCAGCAGCAGCAACAACAATAACATTCACGCCCACAACAACAACAACAACAACAATATTATGGATAACAGCTACAACATCTACGGCAACTTTAACGACCATGTGAGTGTTGGTAGCATCATAAGGAAATATATGCAATGAAATATATGCGTATTCCCTTTCCTACTCGAATTCTTATGCTCCTTAACTCTCTTTGACTAACCCCCAAGAGATATTTATCTATATGATATTTGTATGTAGCCTTCTTATAAACATCTCTTATACAGAGAGACTAAATGCCTGTTCAGTTTACGAAGCACAGCTACTTCTCTTTCATCTTTCCCATCTGTTGAGCTATGCTCTATTATGATGAATGTATTCCCACACATACTTTGTATCTCGTCCTTATAAAGACTCCTTGACTCGCAGCAGCTGGTGCATTTAATGCTCGCATCTCTTATACCGTATTCCATATATTCCTATATTCCATTCTTATATCTCTTCAATAGTAAATCTCAGTCTAAGTTCTGCTGCAGGCATCTTTCTCGTAAAAGAGTTTGTAGGGTAAGTCATTCCGATATGACTGTTATACCATACTGTTATAGGTATCTGATAGATATATAGGTATTCCCTTTTTTCTACAATTCTTGTGCTTCAGTAGAACGTTAGGCTTTTGTTATCTTTATAAATATATCTTATAAAGAAATGCTATATGCCTATTGGGTGGTCAGTTTACAGCTACTTCTCTCTCATGTTTCTCATCTGTCGAGCTATGCTCTATTATGATGGATGTATTCCTACACATACCTCGTACTTCGTCCTTATAAAGAGGCAGTGCATGCTCGCATCTCTTATACCGTACATCTACCCATATTTCAATATGAAATCTTTTAGAGTGCACTTCCACATAGTATATCTCAGTCTAAGGTCTGCTGCATACATCTTTCTCGTATAAGAGTTTGTAGGGCAAGCCATCCTGATATGACTGTTCTTATACTAAATACAGATTACTCTTATACTAACTACAGACTACTCTTATACTAACTGCAGACTACTCTTATACTAACTGCAGACTACTCTTATATTAACTGCAGATTACTCCTATACTAAATACACTCTTATACTAAATACAGACTACTCTTATACTAACTACAGACTACTCTTCCACATATCTGCCCCCAAGGCCATTTAGTCTTCAGCCAATCCTCCATAGCTCTTGTACATATTTGCTTTCAATCTCTTGAGCTTGACCTTTAGCCTGTTATCGACTCTAGTTAATGTGTGTTCTCCCTCTCTACGCTTGACAGGATTCATCGATTCGTATCATGGACATTGGCGCGCCGGCTTCAGCTTATGCTCGCCCCGAGGGACGCAACGACCAGCGCTACGAGTGCAACCTGTGCGACTTTCATACGAGCAGCATGAACGTTCTGCTCATCCATAGACGCACTCACGTGGAGCCCAGTCGCTCGAGCACCGGCAACAACCAGCGGCCCCTGCTGCCGGGCAAGCCAGGCGGTGGCTGTGGCGGCGGCGGCGGAGTTGGAGGTGGCGGTGGCGGTGTCGCTGGCGGTGGGTGTGGCGGCAATTGCATGGCCAACAAGTCGCGTGCGTCACGCAGGGCCAACACATCGATCTCCCGTGACTTGGCGTCCTACTCGTCGCTGTGGCGCTGCCAGTCGCGACACGTCTCCATTGTGGTGGATGCTCCGCTCAACGATGAGGAGCAGCGACAGGTGGCGAACATTGCCCAGCTGACGCTGGCGAGCATTGAGCGTGTGGTCAAGTCGCCCATACCCTGCGAGTCGTCGTCGAATGAGCGCCCCCTTGCGGCGGTGCGCCGCAACACGCAGGTCAGCTCGCGGGATCCGAGACGCAAGCGTTGCCATCAGCTGCGTGCCACGATGCCAGCGCCGCCGCCCCTGGCGTTGCCATCGCCCGCCACGCCGGCGAAGCAGAGAAGACTAACGCGTTCCTGCACCAGGCAGCAGGAGACCAGGGACAGTGCCAGTGCAGAGCGCGAGCGGGCCAGGATCGAGCGAGCTGAGCGATTGGGCAGGAGACGGGGACTCAGTGCTGCCAGAGCGACATACGATGGCGACAATGCCGACGAAGGGGATGCGAACAGAGGCAGAGGACGAGCACGGACAGTCCTAGCCAAAACGCCAACTTCACAAAGATCCGCCTCCTCCTCGGTTACCTTTGCGCTGCCCCGCCAACGTCCGCAGCAGTCTAATGAGAGGAGCTGCACAATCACCAGCGCCGCCATGATGTCCACGTCCACATCACCAACACCGTCGCCCTTCTCACTGGCGTTGCCCAGTCGTGCGACCCAGACAGTGAATCCCAGTGCGGCGACGGTGCACACATCGGGAACTCCGGCCGTGTCGAAAGTCAACGCGAAGGCCAAGTCGGCGGCAGCGGCTGCTAAGCGGGGACGCAAGCGCAAGCGGCGGGATGAGGAGGAGGATGAGGATGACGATGAAGAAGAGCAGGCAGCGGCTTCTGCGAGACGGCAGAAGGCGAAGGAACAGATGCAGGAGAAGGAGAAAGCGGAGAAGAAGAAGAAGGAGGAGGAGCAGCAGCAACGGCAGCGCAGCAACAGTCCAAATCAGATTGTGAATGATTCACGGGAGCTGCATCTCAGATTGCTGGCAGAATGGGGAGATTACGAGCAGGAGGAGCCAGAACTGGAACAGGAGCAGCGAATCGAGCAGGCACAGCAGCAGCAGCTGCCACAAGGCTCGCAGCAGCAGCAGCAGCAACAGCAGCCAGACGACGAAGCTGACGCCGACGCTGTCGCCGACGTCGTCGTCGACGCTGATGCTGATGCCGAAGCAAGTCCAGCCACAAATGATGCACTATGTAATGATGTATCCATGAATGCCGTGGCCTCCTGCTCATCGAGCTCGTCCTCATCCAAGCGCATACGCAACATACCAAAGAAGGATCGCCGGGATGTGGTGCTGCAGGAGTTCGACTCTAGCGCCGAGAGCAACTGTGTCCAGGATGAGCCGATCCTAATTCACGATAGCGATGCTAGCTCCAATGAGAGCGTTGTCTTCATCGATGCTGCCGAGCCGCAGCGCTCGATGAGGGCATCAGTGCTGAATCCGAATCCGTATCCGAGTGCCGTCTCCTGCTTCGATTTCGACGAAGAGGACGAGCACCTCGAGCCGGCTGCCATGCAGCCGAATGCACCCATCGCTGAGAGGAATGGAAATGGTCTAAGCTATAGACGGCGCACCAAGCCCTCGGCTCCAGCTCCTGCCCAGACGGCAACAGCTGCTGCCACGGCTCCTTCCCTGTCCAATGGCGGCGAGGAGCCGCGATCTAGAAAGCAATCTCTTGCCAAGTCCCACGAGGATGTCTTCAAGGCATTCAATGAACACCAGTCCCAACAGCAGGAGCTGGAGCACGAGCAAGACTTGGAGACCGGAGCAGGCAGTGTGGATGCGGAGGCGGAGCAGTCAAATCTGCCCATCAAGGAGCGGCAGAAGCGCATTTTCAAGTCGCGCAACAAGCAGCGCGAAGAGCAGGAGCAACAAAAGAAGCAACAGCAGGAGCAGGAGCAAGAGCGGGAGGAAGATGAGGACGATGCAGGCCAGCAAGAGGTGGCTCTGTCGCTGGAACACGACGAAGAGGATGAGGAGCAGCAGGTAGTGACGTCGCCGCTACCCACACTATCCAATGGCTCCAGCTCTGATCTGAAGACTGACAAGCGACGCCAAAGCAATCCAAGCCAATGCGCTGCCAAAGCCAAGTCGCCATCCCCCATCATGTCCAGCTACAGCCTGGCTCAAACTCCGCCCACACCGACACCCACAGCCGAGGAGCTGAGTAACTCGTCGCCAGTGCAAGCGCAGGAGACGCAACTGCAATTCCAGCCGCAGTTGCCGTTCGCTAGCCAAATGCAGTTCCCCATTCAGACGCAGTTCAGCGGCTTAGCATCGCCAGCATTGAGCCATATCCACCTGCACATGAACTCCAACAGCAACAGCTCCTCGCACTTGACGAGCAACAGCAACAGCAACAGCAACAGCAGCTCCATTCTCTCCAATATGGCCGTCATCTCGGCCGAGGAGGCGCGCGAACTGCAGCGCTCGGCTCCAGCCCTGGCGGAGGAGTCGACCACGGCCACAGAGTCGAGTGGTGTGCTCATCCTGGAGGACATATTGCTGCCCAATCTCTACGAGATACGACCCAATTCACAGAACAGCAATATGAGCTGTGCACGGGTTCGCAGTCTGGCGAGCAGAGCCAGCCGAGCGAGCAAAGCCAGCAAAATCAGCAAGAGTAAGCGGGGTAGCCATGGAAGCAGCAGTAGCAGCAGCGGCAGCGGCAATGGCAGCGGCACCAGCAGTAGTAGCAGCAGCGGCAGTGGCAGTGGCAGCAGCAGCAGTGGCACCGCCAGCAACACCAGCAGGAGCAGCAGCAGCAGCAGCAGCGGACACAGCCAGGTGAAACGGCCGGTGGGAGCTGAGGAGGGCGAGCGTGGAGTTGCCAAGAGTCAAAAGGAGAGGCAAAAGCAGAAGCAGCATCACGGCAAACAGAAGCCGCAGAAGGTGGAGCAGCAGCCGCCGGCGAAGCACTCAAAAGACAAGACAAGCGCAAAGCAAGCGAAGAAGGCAAAGCACTCGAAGAAAGAAGAGAAGAAGCACACACAGCAACAGCCGTTGCCCTCCACATCGGCGGCAGCACAACGCGCGAATGCCACGCGAGCTGAATCACCAACATCGCCGAATCGCTGGTCACCAACGCCGCCGCCTGTCGGTCGGCGCTTCGAAGTGCAGCTGAAGGAGCGCGAGCGGGAGATGCTGCTCAAGTACGAGGCGGACATAACTAGCGGACGCAGGGCAGAGATCAATCGCATTGCACGGGAGCGCTGGGCTCGCGCCCGCTGTCAGCACAGGCCGGACGCCGAGGAGAAGTTGCTGCTCATGCGGCTGAAGGAGCAGCGCAACTTCCGGCTCAATCGCCGAGCGGCTAGCGAGCACCCAATGGCCATGCGCAGAGAGAACCTAAGCCGGCCGCGGAAGAGTCCATCCTGTCAGGTTTTGAGCACGCTGACTGAGCAGGATCTGCAGCTTGCCAGGCGGCAGCTGCTGCGGCTGCGCGATGCTCAGGCTAGAAGAAAGCGACGAGGTAGCGGCTCTCAAGCTGCAGTGGAAGCCAGAAAAAGAAAGCAAGAACTGGAGGCCGAGAAGGAGAAGGAAAAGGAGGAGAAAGAGAAAGCAAAAGAGAAGCGGAATGAGGAGCAGGATCAATTGGAGCTGGACCTTGAACTGGAATTGGAACTGGATCCGGTATCAGATGAAGCGCAAGAAGAGCAAGAAGAGGAAACGGTAGCAGAACAACAACTGGAGGAGCAGCTGCACGGACAGGAGGAACCGCAGCAGCTGGTGGATGAGCAGGAGCAGCTGCAACTGGAGGAAGGGCAGGAGGAGCTGCCGCTGGAAGAAGAGCAGGAGGAGCTGCAGCTGGAAGAAGAGCAGGAGGAGCTGCATCTGGAAGAAGAGCAGGAGGAGCTGCAACAGGAGGAAGAGCAGGAGGCGCTGCAACAGGAGGAAGAGCAGGAGGAGCTGCAGCAGGAGCAGCTGCACATGGAGGAAGAGCAGGAGCAGGAGCAGCTGCACTTAGAAGGAGAGCAGGAGCAGCTGCACCTAGAGGAAGAGCAGGAGCAGGAGCAGCTTCATTTAGAGGAAGAGCAGGAGCAGCTGCATCTAGAGGAAGAGCAGAAGCAACTTCATCTAGAGGAAGATCAAGAGCAGCTTCATCTAGAGGAAGAGCAGGAGCAGCTTCATCTAGAGGAAGATCAGGAGCAGCTTCATCTAGAGGAAGAGCAGGAGCAGCTTCATCTAGAGGAAGAGCACGAGCAACTGCATCTAGAGGAAGAGCACGAGCAACTGCATCTAGAGGAAGAGCAGGAGCAGCTGCATCTAGAGGAAGAGCAGGAGCAGCTGCATCTAGAGGAAGAGCAGGAGCAGCTTCATCTAGAGGAAGAGCAAGAGCAGTTGCACCCAGAGGAAGAGCAGGAGCAGCTGCACATGGAGGAAGAGCAGGAGCAGCTGCACCTAGAAGGAGAGCAGGAGCAGCTGCACTTAGAAGAAGAGCAGGAGCAGCTGCAGTTGGAGGAAGAGCAGGAACAGCTGCACCTTGAGGGAGAGCAGGATCAGCTGCAGCAGGAGCAATTGCAGCTGGAGGAACTGCAGGAGCAGCTGCAGCTGGAGGAAGAGCAGGAGCAGCTGCTGCTAGGACAGCAACCGCAAGCACAGCAGAGACAACAGTCACAGAGAATCGATGATCCACTGGACGATCAGCCGTCATCGTCACGAGCAGTAAACCGTCCGCCTTCAGGGGACAACAATTCCGATCCAGATGAGTCGAAGGAAACCTCCCAAGAGATTGGAGCAGATTCACGGATTTGTGCTGTGATGACTCGGCCCATTCCTGGCTACAACAACACCTTCATGCTCTGCTCCCTGAGCAACAACAACAATTTTACTCCTTTGAACAACGAGGCACTATATTTGGATAACGAGAATCATTTGGTGCCGGTGCCTTTGGAGGCACTAACCGAGACGCCACAGCTACCCGAAGGTAATCCGCTGTCTGCGGTCTTTCTGCTGGATGGTGAGGCCATAGCGCAGGTGGTGCAGGGTGAGCAGGGTGAGAATGCTGATGGCGAGGAAGGACAAGTGGAAGATGGAGAAGCTGTGGAAGAAGGGGTTGTGATGCCAGGTGGCATACTGGGCATGATGTCGCCTTCGAATCAATTAGCCGAAGGCCACGACGACGAAGAGGAGGAGCCGGAACCATCTGATGGCCTGGTGGCAACTGATGAAGCCGAGAATCCATCGCCCTCCGAGGAAATCTATCAGCTTCAGTCGAATGTGCTCCAGCTGAATGTCGGCGGCCACCAGCTGGAGATATCAACCGAGGTGCTGATGAATATAGCCGAGCAACAGGATGACATCATCATTGAGATTGACGGCGGCGGGCAGGCTCTGTTGCCTGCCGCCGAAATATTGCAGGCGGCCAAGAACTATTTGCACGAGCGAGACTTACAGCTGGTCAATCTGGAGGACTTGGCCTTGCACCAGTGCAACCACGGAGCTGGCTCCGTACCACTGATAGTTCCCGATTTGCTGTCTGCCGCGCTGGCCGGCAACAGCGTGGGCATTCTACACATTGAGACTCAATCGGCGGCTGCTGGCACAGGACCAGTACCAACACTAGCAACATCAGGAGGTGCAGCTGGAACTGGCGCTGAGGAGGATGTGATTGGCTTTATGGCACACACGTTGCCAGTGAGTGGCTCCCATTTGACGCCGCCGATCACAGCCCGCACGAACGAGACAAATGCGCTGCTGGATCAGACGCCCATCATGTCCGCGCTGGAGCAGCCAAGCACCAGCGCCTCTGCCGCCCTTCAACTGCGCGCCGGCAGCAGCAGCTCATCGGCCTCGCCGTTGTCCATTGATGCCATTGGTGGCAATCTGGACGATAGCCTGGCCGTGATTGGTGTGACCAATGGCAGCGGCAGCGGCGTGCCCACATCCTTGGAGCTGCCCATTACCGTCACCAATCCGGCGATTGCGCCCCGTTGCACAACAGCGGATATGACGAAATTTGTGCCGTTCCAGTAGCTGTTGCAGTTGGATGGATTCGCCGATGGCTGGGATAGCCTGGACTCGGAGTAGATGGCGATTGGTCAACTCAATAGTCAGCTCTACTCAGCTAGGCAGTTAAATGCTGAGGAGAAGAGCGAGGGAGAAAACAACAAACAGCAGCAAATCATTTCAAACTAGTTTATTTCATTTACATACATATTTTTTTTCTCACTCTCTCTTTGCAAGGAATGCAGGTATTTTTTGTTTTTTGTTTTTGTTTTGCATTGCATTGCAAATAGTATGGAAAGCTTAGGCTAAATGAGAGCGAGCAGCATAGTAATAGAAGCTTGGACTGTTTACTGTTTATTTTTAAGTCATTCGCTCTCGCTCTTGCTCCTTTGGCTGTCGACGACACGCACTCGGCATGAGCAAATGACTATACACTAACAGTTAGGCTAAGGCAGAATAAGTGAGAGCAGCAACTGGAATAATCGCTGCTCTCGTTCTCTCACACTCTTTCTCTTTGTGTGAGCATGTTATGTTATTTTCAGCATTGCTAATGGAAGTTAGGCTAAGGCTATTAATTAGGGAGCGAGCAGGATAGCAACAAAATGAATACTAGAATACTTGATGTATAGACTAATGCGTGCGCCGTCGCTCCCACTGACTTGGTGTACAATACACATGTATTTTTATTTTTTATTTTATTTTTTTTGCAAGGCAATTTAAAGCAAAGCTTAGACTAAGCCGGTAGAAAAAAAGTGCGAGAAGGAGAACCGAACAGAACAGGACAAAGAACAGAAGAGAACAGAACAGAACAGATTTTAGCATAATTAAGGATCGCTAAAGAAACGAATATGAATGTTTTTTTTTTTTTTTTTTTTTTTTTTACTACAACAAGATGCCCTTCATTGCCACAAATGAGGTAAATGCAAGGAAATAGAAGTAAAAAAAAACTGTTTAACCCTAAAACATGTAGCTTAGGAAGTAAACAGTTTGCAATTCCTATTTTCTTGTATAGATGTACCTCATGAATGAAATGTATCTTTTAAAAAAAAAAAAAAAAAAAAAAAAAATT